AGGTGCTGGGGGAGGAGCAGGTGTGGAGGTGCTGGGGGAGGAGCAGGGGTGGAGGTGCTGGGGGAGGAGCAGGGGTGGAGGTGCTGGGGGAGGAGCAGGTGTGGAGGTGCTGGGGGAGGAGCAGGTGTGGAGGTGCTGGGGGAGGAGCAGGTGTGGAGGTGTTGGGGGAGGAGCAGGGGTGGAGGTGCTGGGGGAGGAGCAGGTGTGGAGGTGTTGGGGGAGGAGCAGGGGTGGAGGTGCTGGGGGAGGAGCAGGTGTGGAGGTGCTGGGGGAGGAGCAGGTGTGGAGGTGCTGGGGGAGGAGCAGGGGTGGAGGTGCTGGGGGAGGAGCAGGTGTGGAGGTGCTGGGGGAGGAGCAGGGGTGGAGGTGCTGGGGGAGGAGCAGGTGTGGAGGTGCTGGGGGAGGAGCAGGTGTGGAGGTGCTGGGGGAGGAGCAGGGGTGGAGGTGCTGGGGGAGGAGCAGGTGTAGAGGTGCTGGGGGAGGAGCAGGTGTGGAGGTGCTGGGGGAGGAGCAGGGGTGGAGGTGCTGGGGGAGGAGCAGGGGTGGAGGTGCTGGTGGGGTTAGAGCAAGTGTGGAGGTGCAGGGGGGTCAGAGGGGTTGGAGTGTAAGTGCCGGGGGGAGGGTTTGAGCAGGGGTGGAGGAGCTGGGGGGGTTGTAGCAGGTGTGGAGGGGCTGGAGGGGTTGGAGCAGGTGTGGAGGGGCTTGGCTGGGAAGGAGCATCCCTGGAGGTGTAGTGTGGAAGGGCATGTGTGTGTTCTGTGGAACTGACAGAAGCAGCATGGTTTAAGTATGGGGGTGAGGGTCCTACCAGAATCAGAAACACTCAGCTTTGGGAGTTGGGAAATGCTCTTGGTTTTGAGCAATGGAACACAGTAGAGCATGAGTGCAGATTTGTGTTTGAAAGATTCCCCTGGCTGTTGTATGGAAAATGGAGCAGGCAGGGGATAAATACTGAGAATGGGGAGTCGACATTGTTGGCAGAGTAATGGTGGCTTGAACTGAGGGGACACAGCTGACGTGGATACCCTCTCCAGTTAGAGCTCAAGGACTTGGTATCCGCACATGTGCTGAGGTGGTGGGAGGTGGCCCGTGCTATCCAGGTCTCAGCTCCAGCACCAAGACAGATGATAAACAGACAGATGGACAAAGGGTGGGCCTTGAGGTCTCCGTGACACAGAGGACAGGGAAGCAGTGGGGTGAAGGGTCCCGGGCTCAGAGAACATCTGTATCCATGACACACATATGGAAACCAGAGTAGTGATGGCATCAAAACATCAAATACAAATATAAAGGGAACAGAACAAAAATCTGCATTATACCAATACTGAGTCTGGTTCGAGCAGAAGACAGTGAGACCTCAGAAATGCCCAATAACTTACAAGGAAAATACAGATGAAAGCATTACAGAGGCCATGGAAAGATGGCCCATGATCGAGCAGTGTGGGTAACACCCACAGGGGCACCAAGGAAGGAGAACTGTGCAGACCCCAGGCACAATCAGTGCCTGAAGTATAACCCACTGATTACTTATATCTAATTTATATATATAATCACACTTAGTCCCATATAATCTTTCTACATAATCATATAATAGATGTAGTCAGAGCTGTACCAACACATTTAGTGCTGATTTACAGAATCCTTCCATAGAACCATATAGTAGTCTGTAGTAGGAGGAATGCCCAGAGCAGTCACAGAACAGAAGCAGTACATGGGAAAACAGCCAGACCAGGACAAGAACCAAAGACCCAGGCGGTGGCGTCCCTGCCTGAAAGGGCATACGCTGTATGGCAGGCTTGGAGCAAGAGCCTCCCCTTCTGATAGAGGAGTTGTAAGTACCTTGCATCCAGTTCCTGTGGAAAGGAGGCCTCAGGCCTGAGATCCCGCAAATAACCGAGGGAGAAGAACCCCTCTGGTGTGAGCAGTCACGGCGGCTGTACACCCTGTCAGTCTTTTCTCCCTTCTGTGTTAGCTCAAATCACCCTCCCATAAATACCTTGAGAACAGCACAAGTCTGTCAGCTCCCACTGCACTGGCTTACGGTATCCTTCCACTAGAAACCCTCTGAAGTCTCCAGCCCCCAGTTAAGAAGTGTTGCACATGACACCTGCTGCACACAGCCCACCTCCTTGCCTCGGTGACCTAATAAGGGTGGACCCCTTTTCTGTACACGACCCTCTACTACTGCACACGGCACGGCCCCTTACTGCTCATGGCCCACCTCTCTGCCCAGGTGACATAATGGGGTGGCCCCCTCGCTTGTGACTCCCATGATTATGTATGTCCTATCACTAAACATATAGATGATGACCTCACTCACAACCCTGCCCGCTGCTTGTACCTAATAAATACAGACACTTCTGCACACCCGGGGCCTCGCCTGCCTCCGCTCATAGGTGGCATGGCCCCCACAAGTTCAGCTGCTCTTCTCCAGTTCTTCAGTGTCCTGTCTCGACTTCTCGGATCCTGTACCTCAGCACAGCATAAGGGACACCCCACGACCCTGTGGGGCCAACAGCCCTACAAAGGAGAAAGGAGGTGCAGAGTGTTCAATGCTGAGCCGCTAGGCGGAAAACAAGGGCTCACTGAATCAGTCCCAACTACCAGTAACAAATGGACCCGTAAGGGATACTCCAGTATCACCCTCAGTGTGTTCAGATGTTCAGACATCTTAGCAGCCCCCGCTGCACTTCTCAGTGCCCTGGTTAAAAATCACATTTAAAGTCTATGTTTTCTACTCATGACGATCCTTTAGAAGAGCCGTTTTCAACATGCAGAGTGTAATGTGCTAGGCAGAGGACAGTCAAGACTGAGACGGGAAACGGGAAGAACGTCAGCTGTTCTGACAGTGCAAGTGCGGCGAGCAAATGGAAACAGGACACGTCTCCTTTCCCATGAGCTGACTGCACACTGGACATTCCCTTCAAAAGACAAAAAACAAATCACAAGTGAGCCAACATCAAAGTTTTATTGAATAAATACATGCACTGTCATGTGAAATTAGCTGAACAGAAAGGACCGTCTCCAAGTTTTACCCCCGCCTCCAATATTGCTCTCCATGTGCAGTGGGGAGTCCAGCTGCAGGTGGAATAAAGGCGGCAACCGCAGAGTAACCACCCAGCTGCACACAGGCCTGCATTTGGTTTAGGTGCCTGAAAAGGAGGGCTGACAAAAAGGAGTTCTTACCGACCACGGTAAGTGAACACGGCGACAAAGCTGCTGCTTCTACTTTACTTATTGATATACTTAGTGACTGAGATGGAGTCTTGCTCTGTTGCCCAGGCTGGAGTGCAATGGCGCGATCTGCTCCTGGGTTCAAGCAATTCTCCCTCCTCACCCTCCCAAGTACTAGCTGGGATTACAGGCGCCCACAACCACGCCCAGTTAATTTTTGTATTTTTAGTAGAGACATGATTTTGCCATATTAGCCTGGGTGGTCTCGAACTCCTGCCCTTGGGTGATCCGCCTGCCTCGGCCTCTCAAAGTGCTCAGCATGAGCCACTGCACCCAACTGGCTGCTTCTATTTTAATATGAACTTGGAAACATCTTCCTACTTTAAGGCACAGGATAAGAACCCACATGACGAGCTAAGACAGCTACACTTCAAATTTACTAAGTTAATTAACTTTCCTTTCACTGGCTTGGCTCAAGGTAAAAAAGATAAAATTCCCTTTTCTTAAACTGATCAAAACTGAAAATTAACATTTTCAGAACTCAAGCGTGTCTGACGTCACTGGGATCCTGGAGTGCGAAGCGCCTGGGAGGTACTTCGGTGCCTCAGAATCACCCCGCTTCCTTCCTTCCTTTTAAAGAGAACGGGGATGGCTACTGGAGGCAAGCCCCTCCGGACCTCCAGCCCCGAGGCGGCTCTCCCAACTCCCCTGCCTCGGCAGGCACGGTGCTGCTCCACCGCTTCCTCTGCGCTTTGTACCTGCAGCTGTGTCCACTCTGCCTCAGTGCTTAAACAAAGCATTCCATCAAGGAAACTACGCATGGAGCAGACGACACGGGACTGCACAGCTCAGAGGGACGGGATGCTGGTAAAAATTACTGGCTGCTACAATTTCGATGAGCACTTCTTTATAGACTATGACAGAAGACTTTCAGCATACCTAATTTTTTAAAAACCTTCAAAACTCTAATAGCATGGGAAAGCAACTAGATTTAATGTTGTTACCTATCTTCCATAAATATCATAGTTAAATCTGTGTGCATACAGGTTCATATGTGTCTTTAAATGTATTCATATGCTTCCCGAATAACGCTATACACTAACATTGGGAGTGGTGTATAAAGAGGCTTTACAGTCAAATGCCATCATGTAGAAGACAGATTAGTCTTATGATTACATGAAATGTGGGGTAAAGCTACAGACTCCATTATAAGTAAACCCACGGTTCAAAGAGTAAGTTATACACGAAACAAAATCACAATCTGCTAGAAGGGAGAGGCAGGTGGAGACAGCCACCAGCCTCTGCCACAGGCACTTTGGTTTGCTTGGTCATGTGAGTTACCCACAAGTTACATAGTTCCATGAAACAAGCTAAGAGCTCTGATTTCAACTACAAAGCTGTATTTTCCTCAGTACATTTATACATAGTTTTAAGATGTTCTCATGGCTGCAGAAGCCATTTTCAGCACAGAGCTTACAATATGCACTTAACCATCTACATATGCGCATTCTTTCTCTACAGACACTGTGCACAGCCTAGGGCACTGCAGCAGAGCCTCGCCTCGAAGGAGGTCGGGGGACTCTCAAGTACATAAACACGCTTTCAATAGTCTAAACAGAATAAACATTGCGTAACAGCATCCCATCCCAACATTAAGGTTAGTCGTGGCATAAAGTGAGGCAGCTAGGAAGTGGCTGTTGAGAGCAGCCGGGGCTGTGCTCGCAGCTGTGGCGCCCCAACCCTGGTGGTGGCCGGTGCACATCGGCTCACAGTCCCCACATCCTCTGTGTGATGTCACACTACGTGTTCCTGACAATAATGAGAGATCGAGCTTTCAATTTCTAATGCAATTTCCTAGCGACGCATCCCAGTCTACCTCACAACCTTTAAAAGGACAATGTGCACTTTCTGTTTTCTACAGGCTGGGAAGACACTGAAAATTCCCAAAGCCCATGACTATTTGGCAGTAGCTTAATTGCTAATATTGAAAGTCTGTTCTTCTATTTTAGGAAAAGAACAAGGTGTCTGTATACTGTTTCATAAGTAACTTATAACAGCAATTAAAATAAACAAGACATTTCATTTTTACGTAGGAAATTTCAGATTAGTACAATATAATTTATGAACCATGACAATTCTCTTAATATCTTATATTACTCAGTTATAAAACATTTTTCTTTATAAGCCCTTCAACTTACTTCTCAATAATACATCCTTATATTTATGAAAATGTTAATATTTTGATTACTTTATTTCATCATTCATAATGGGCAGAAACATACTAACATTTTATCTTTCAGCTTTTCTTTTTAAAAAGAAATACCACAAAATAGGTCACTGAGAACTTTTTGCTGCAAAGAGGAAAATGATTATTTGTCACAAGAATTTATTAAGTTTTAGAAGAAAATATATATTTCCTTGATCTATTTTCTTCTGCATTTAAACCAGCATGTAAAGATTATAAAAAATAGAATCTATTTACATGGCATAGGATACTGAGTGATGTATAAACAAGGCCATAATAAAGCACAGACACACCCGCCTCCTACAGACACAGCTGAGCAGAGTCCACAGACACAAGGGCTATCACCACCCTATTGCACATTGTAGGAATTGGCGAAATCCTAGAGGAAATCCAACATACAAAATTTAACGATAATATTGGCCAAATTTGCCTAAAATGTCAACAATTTTATAAAACTATTAAGGTATGTATAACTAAATACATGAAATTATAAAAATAACATTGGTACGTCTGTGAGAGGGTGTGTTCCGGGTGGAGGGGGAGGTGCTCCGCTGAGGAGGGTGCCTCCCTCCCGCCTGGTGCGGCTATGTCATGGCCTGAGGCCTCGTCCCGTCTTCCGTGAGGTCATACCTGAGAAAGACAGTGAGGGAAGGTGGTGACACACGCAGGGCCAAGTATGAAAAGTCTGTCAGATGCACGTTGGGTTCCGCCCCGTCTGTGGGGGACGCTACCCACCGGGCCCCAGAAGGCATTTTTAGCTACAGGCTGGGGTTCTCTGTCTGCAGCAGGGACACTCACCACTGGGTCCAGCCTTTGGCAAGGTCTTCAGATGCCAGAGCAACCAATACCTGTGGGTTTTAAAAACAGTAGTCTGTTAAAGTAGCCTGGGCTTGGGGCGCTGGCTCACGCCTATAATCCCAGCACTTTGGGAGGCCAAGACAGGAGGATCACTTAAGCACAGGAGTTTGAGAACAGCTTGGGCAAGACAGTGAAACCTTGTCTCTACTAAAAATTAAAAAAAAAAAAAAAAATTATCTGGGCATGCTGGCACGCACCATGGTCCCAGCAACTCTGGAGGCTGAGACAGGATTGCTTAAGCCCAGGTATTCAAAGCTGCAGTGAGCCATGATTGTGTCACTGTACTTCAGCCTGTACTTCTAGAGACCCTGCCTCCAAAGAAAGAAAAAGGAGGGAGGGAAGGAGGGAAGGAGAGAGAGAAAGAAAGAAAGGCTAAAGCAATGTCTTTTAGATCTTTTACCACCTCTTCTCAACTCTCTAATCGTCTATCTTCATCTAGAATATGGACTCTCCTTTTTTGGAGGTTCCTATTATTATTTTTGAGACACAGTCTCACTCTGTTGTCCAGGCTGCAGTGCAGTGGCATGATCTCGGCTTACTGCAACTCCCACCTGCCGGGTTCAAGCGATTCTCCTGCCTCATCCTCCTAAGTAGCTTGGGACTGTAAGTGCATGCCACCAAGCCTGGCTAATTTTTCTATTTTTAGTAGACACAGTGTTTCACCACATTGGCCAGTCTGGTCTCAAACTCCTGACCTCCCCATCTTGGTCTCCCAAAGTACTGGGATTATAGGCGTGAGCCACCATGCCTGGCCCGGGATCTTATTTCTTCAGTCTTTCCTACCCCTGTGAGCACCTGTGATCTGTATGGGTGACTATATCTAAGAAATCCTTCATGCAACCAGCAGTCTTAAAATTTAGCTATGATGGAGCATCAGTGGAGAAGATTCACAGGTGTGTTGGCCCATGTGCCCTCCACGGTAGCACAGCTGACAAAAGACACCTGTGACTCAAATCTCCTCTTCCCTAGCTGAGCCCTACGTTCACTCTTAACTCACCTATCCCCACGTGCCAAAGTTAAATGTGAATATGAACAAAGACTGGAAGATCAATAAAGCCGATGAATTTCAGAAAAAGAGCAGTGCCGCCAGTTGAGGAGACAGAATTTTAAGAGACTATTTTCCTGTGTATTTCCCTTCAATGTGATACTTGAACAAAAATTTGAATACTTAAAAATAATCACCTTTTCTTCTACTAGAAGTTCATGGTATTAGTACAATTAATGAATCAATAATCTGAATAGGTAAAAAAATTAAAATAACTTAAAACATCTTCAGAAAGCACAGATGTTTTAGTTGACTGTCTTTACAGCCCACAATTTATAAGCAAGCACTGACCTGGTAAGTTCACCCTTTCTGCTTACACAGATATGGTCTGAACACACACTGTAGGTAAACGTTCAATGTTTACAAACCGCCGGAACTGAGGGAGGATTCGCTGTAGCACTTACTTTGCCAAGGAGCCCTTTGTCTTTGGACAGGAAGCCGCCACTGTTCTTCACGGCGACGTCGAGAGTTCTCCTTTGCACCTCCGGTAACGAAACACTGAAATCAAAGCTGAAACAGGAAACAAGAGCCTAACTTAATTTTATCCACCATTCTGCTCTATTTTCTTGTAATTAAAAATGTCATTTCTGCTCATGAAACCATTCCAAATGTCATGTTTGTTTTCTATTATAAAACAGTTCTTCTACTAAATGTTTTAATCTGGCGTTTCAGGAAGACTTAAGAACCAACGTTTTTTCATCATTTCCCACACATAAGCGAAGGCTCTGGCATCCCACAGATGTTTGGGTCCCACCGTCCCTGGCTTACTTGCGAGTGGGTGAGGAGCATCTCTGAACACGCCTGACTCTTCCTGGGGGTTAAAATATGGGACAGTGTTGACACAACAGCCATTCCGTAACAGCCCACTCACACAGGCTTTCCAGTCACTCTGGTTTAGCCTTCAGACCCTTTCTCCACTATCTCCAATAAAAGAAGTTCGTGCTCGCAGCTTCGCAGGAGGGAGAAGGCCTCTGAAGCACTCCTGATGCGCAGCCAGATGCTGCACTAAAGCATCTGTAGGGCGTCTGCTGGGACTGGGGGTGCCTGCCCCAGGCCACAGTGCTGGAAATGCAGGTGGGCATGTGGAGTCTCCAGATGTTTAAATGCTTCAGATGGGTAGAAGCACTTTGCATACTCCCATCAGGGGTTGACGCATGCCTGCCAGTTTCTAATGCGTGGTAAAGCTACTGCTATGGACGTACAACGAATGGGGAGGATGTTTACAGATGAAATGTTAACTGAATTAGCAAACAGCAACACCATCCAACTGTATTATCATTTCCCAAAACACGGGTGGGTTTTGAAGCACCGGCGACAATTATGCAAGATACCAAACTGGTACAGATTGGTGGCTCTTTAAGTTGGGACCAACGACCCTTGGGGGGGTCTCTGAGACCCTCTTAAGAGGTCACCAAATCAGCCTGACCACAGAAGCAGACTCCAGCCTCTCTTAAGCCAGACCACTAAAGAGATTAGCAGCAATGCAGAACAATATCATTCTTTTCATTATTAGGTTTTTTGTTTTTGGAAATACAGCTGTTTTTCCAGCATGTCATATTTTAAGATGTTTGGGGCTTACTGTTATTTTAAAATAAAATTAAAAATATATGTATCCTTCAATTCTCAGTTTTAATTGATAACATAGTTGTTACCCCCAAAAATGAGTTATTCAGGGCCATTGGTAACTTGATCTTTACTTAATCATTATTCTCCCTGTCCGCAGGGTTTATAACTTAAATTTATTATGTTTAGAGCTTCTTCATGAAGTTCAAAATGCTTATTTGTTTTGAGAAGTATGTTTGCTAAAATTTGGTTTCTGACTGAACTTCTTAACAGCTGATTTATGAGCTCCAGTCATGGGCCTTCTGATCCATCATTTCAACCAGGCAGTCTATCCTCTGCTGGATAAAATATCGTACCTTTGATCAAACACTGGATTTAATGTTTTCTTTGACACATGTGTTTTCCTCCTTCCTGATCGCCTCTTGTCTGGTAATAAATACATGCGGACGTAGGGGTCAGAGCCGTCTTCAGAGAAGGCAATGAGGTTTCTTACAACACAAACCGAGAAGACTATGTATTAGGATTCAGAAAGAGAGAACTGACAGCCCATTCAGATGTGCTTTATCAAGCTCTGATTTCATATTTATCCAAAAACCGAGAAGTAAGAACAGAATGCATGAAACACTTCTGCCTCCCCGACAGCTGCCTGGTGGCATCTCCCAAACTTTTTAGTGGCTTTCAGCGGCGACTTCTGCTTCCATTTCTAGAGCCCAGAGTTCGGAGGACATTCTAAGTCCCTGGTCTCCGCTTGTAACACAGAGTGACAGCTGTCTTTTCACAATGCTTCTGCCACTTTCTCTCTCGCAGCCAAGCGAGCCAGGCCCCCAGGAGATGCCCACAGACCTGCCTGGGCTGCCTACCTCCTTTGCAATACACATGGTCAAGTGGCCAGTTACACAGGCTCCCACACTCTTCACTTGCTGACTGAATCCAAAGTACAGTAGGCATTGTTTTGCTAGACTCCTCTAAAACAGTATCCTCCATGGTCATTATCTTAGTGGCAAGAACATACGAACTTCTCAAGAGTGATTTGTGGAACTCTACAGGTATAGCATCTTTCCAAACGGCACTAATTTTTCCAATGTTTCCTACAGCTATTTATAAGCTCCCAATTTTTATATCGCATTTTAAACCACTAATGGGACAGAGAATATTGCATAAAAGGAAAATAGCTCCTAAGCCCACAGTATCATCGTTAACCAAATGCAATTAAAGCAACAGTGTCACCGGGCGCGGTGGCTCAAGCCTGTAATCCCAGCACTTCGGGAGGCCGAGGCGGGTGGATCACGAGGTCAAGAGATCGAGACCATCCTGGTCAACATGGTGAAACCCCGACTCTACTAAAAATATAAAAAATTAGCTGGGCATGGTGGCGTGTGCCTATAATCCCAGCTACTCAGGAGGCTGAGGCAGGAGAATTGCCTGAACCCAGGAGGCGGAGGTTGCGGTGAGCCGAGATCGCGGCATTGCACTCCAGCCTGGGTAACAAGAGTGAAACTCCGTCTCAAAAAAATAAATAAATAAATAAATAAAGCAACAGTGTCACCTGACTTTATACTGATTAAAATATAATGAACAAGTTAAAGTTTTCCTGATTAGGCCAGGCATGGTGGCTCATGTCTATAATCCCAGTGCTTTGGGACGCCAGACCAGCGTCTCCACAAAAAAATTAAAAATTAGCCAGGCCTGGTGGCTTCCACCTATAGTCCCAGCTATTCAGAAGGCCTGGCCAACATGGTAAAACTCAGTGTCTACTAAAAATACAAGTTAGCCAGGCGAGGTGGTGCACACCTGTAATACCAACTACTTGGGTGACTGAGGCAGAAGAATCACCTGAACCCAGGAAGCGGAGGTTGCAGTGAGCCGAGATCGCACCACTGCACTCAAGCCTGGGTGACAAAGTGAAACTGCCTCCAAAAAAAAAATAAATACATATATATATATATATTCCTCCTGTTCTAAGCTACCCATTTGTATCATATGCTACTGTGCTGAATACTGCAGACAATTGTGACATAACACATTCATGTATTTAAACACAGAAAAGGTACAGTAAAAATATGGTACAATCTTAGGGGACTGCTGTACATTGATGACCAAAACATTGTCATGTGCCGCATGAGGCAGTGACACCCTTTATAAGCACCGGCTCTAAGGGTCTGATTGCTTTGTCCTTTCGAAATCAAACCTAAATAGCTATTTGGTAATGCTATAGGCAGTTGTCTGTGTCATCCTATCCAGCGTCTACACTCAGCAGCTCAGCAGTGGGTGCTTGGCGATCCGGCCCCCACCTGCAGGTATGCACAACCACGATCAGCTTGTTTCTCTGCGAGCTGTGCCGGATGGTCAGCTGGATCTGCCCCAGTGGAGACTGTCCCAGGGTCGTCCCGCTGTGGGAAAAGAGCAGAAAGTCACCAGCTTGCCTGGGACTGGAAAACTCTGTGACTCACTGGTCCAAAGTACACAATAAGATAACTTCATTCTGATTTAAAAAAAAAGTCAAATTACCGATGAACTTAAACATCTGAAACTTCTGGGTACGAGTCAACCAGATGAATATTTCACTTGAAGGCTCAATATAAATTCATTATTCAAAACTGACAGGTTTTTTGAGACAGTTTTGCTCGTTGCCCAGGCTGCAGTGCAACAGCACAATCTCGGCTCAATGCAAACTCCACCTCCTAGGTTCAAGTGATTCTCCTGACTCAACCTCCCGAGTATCTGGCATCACAGGTGCCCGCCACCATGCGCAGCTAATTTTTTGTATTTTTAGTAGAGACAGGGATTCACCATGTTGGCCAGGCTGGTCTTGAACTCCTGACCTCAGGTGATCCGCCTGCCTTGGCCTCCCAAAGGGCTGGGATTACAGGCGTGAGCCACCACGCCCAGTCAACTGACAATTTTTAAGTTAGGGCCCTCAGAACTAAAAATGAAATCCTAAGCCCCCACCCCACCCCTAATGAGCGGACGCAGGGGACCCCAGAGAAATCTTAAACGTTGAGTTCCTGACCGCGACAGGATAGGAGGTTATACTCCACCCTCTGCAGTTTAGACACAACAACTGACCAGCGTTAATGCTACAACAGAGATCTGAAGACTGAAGGAACGCACTCTTCATGACGGTAAGATGCCAGGCTACAAAGACGACCTGGGGCCATCCCAGGCAAGGGTAAGCTCCACGCCCTACACTTAAGGAATAAGCTGGGTTCTACTTGGCACAAGGCGTCTCTTTCTCCAGCAGCTAAACAAGCACCCGCCTCGAGAGCAGCAGTGTTAAAGCAACCACACCCTGTCCTGGTCCAGACGCCGACTCACTGACCCCTGCTCCACCGCGGTGACGCAGCTTTGACTGACATGAGGCTGAACTTTCAGAACTTTCTCCTGACGACAGATCCTGGCCATGGACTGCTGCTGGCTGTTCTACAGAGGCTGTGCGCTCTGTGGCGGTCACAGCTGCTCCTGGAACCTGCCGAGGACGTGTGCTCTGCACCAAGCTCCCGCCCTATCCTTCCTCCTCCTCCGAGGTGCCTGCTTTCCAGCCTGTCAGGCTGGCTCATCTACAGCCTGCAACTCTATAAAGAAACAGTCTCCTTTCTAATGTGCAGATCTTATAATTCACCAGTTGAGCACCCGAGGTTAGAACCACAGTGTCCTTAATACAAGCATCAGCTCTGTGGTTCTTGATAAATTTCTAGCCTGTCTTACCCAAATCTGCATGTCCCGCCTCAAAGCCTCATGCAAGCCACGCGCTCCCTTTCCATCTGATGAGACCACAGCACGCTTCCTTCAGTTTCTCTCTGCTCAAGGAAGGAACACAGATCCACGAAATGACAACTCGTATTGTTCTGTGGCCCCTGAGGTAATTTCTACTTCCTGAGTAGGGCCACAGAACAAGACCAGTTGTCACTGAGCCCCTGAGAAAAAGTGGTTCCTTGTTTAAAATTCTATTTCCTTTTGGAGCAAGAGAGAAAGAATGTTTTCTTTATTCTAAAATAGTTTGGACATGAGAAAGCATGAAAGAAAAAAGTGAGTGTGGCTCAGAGGAGGGTGGCTGTGCCAGCCCCACAGTCTGCATGTGCTTTTCCTAACGGCTCAGAAGCAAACATGCTTCCACCTTTGCCTCCCTTTCTTTTACCATTTTCTTATCACTCAACACACCTCTTATAACAACACACAGGGAGAACTATTTCAAAGGTCAATTTTGCTTCTTCCACCAAGAGGAAAAGGTTAACATCTGAAGCTTGTGATAACTACAGATGACTTCTTCCTCCTTATCTAAAGAAACCCTTAACACACCTATGAGTCATGGGGCTTAAATCAGGAACTCACATAGACATATCCGAAGACAAACAAGAGAGACCGGGCAGTGGTGATGGGATCTGACTGTGCGGAAGAGCAAGCTCTGTCCTCACGCAAGGGGAGGTCAGGGCTCCTCAGGCAGCGCAGCGAGGCCTGCAGGCTGGCTTTGCGTCTGCCTTCCTAGCAGGAGCCCAGGCACACAGCAGTGTCCCGACACCGCCTCTTGTCTTTCTCTTTCCTATTTGTGAAACCTATTATGCCATCATGTTCTCATCTTTAAATGATTAAATCCTTGAAAATGGCAGGTTTCATTTCGAAAGTCCCAGATGCAGTGAGCACTAACAGCAGCACACTCTCAAGTTCTTCCAGTTACCCTAAGATTATGCCAATTGAGGGCCGGGCGCGGTGGCTCAGGTCTGTAATCCCAGCACTTTGGGAGGCCAAGGTGGGTGGATCACCTGAGGTCAGGAGTTCAAGACCAGCCTGACCAACACGGTGAAACCCCGTCTTTAAAAAAAATAAAAATAAAATAAATAAATAAATAAAAAGATTACGCCAATTGAGCACGCAAGGTTAAAACCAGTGTCCTTGGCCGGGCGCGGTGGCTCACGCCTGTAATCCCAGCACTTTGGGAGGCCGAGGCGGGTGGATCACGAGGTCAAGAGATCGAGCCCATCCTGGTCAACATGGTGAAACTCCGTCTCTACTAAAAATACAAAAAATTAGCTGGGCATGGTGGCGCGTGCCTGTAATCCCAGCTACTCAGGAGGCTGAGGCAGGAGAATTGCCTGAACCCAGGAGGCGGAGGTTGCGGTGAGCCGAGATCGCGCCATTGCACTCCAGCCTGGGGAACAAGAGCGAAACTCCGTCTCAAAAAAACCAAAAAACCAAAAAAACAACAACAAAAAAACCAGTGTCCTTATTATAAGCAGCAAATACCACAGGGCCTGCGGTCTCCCAGCTCCCTCCCCAAAGCAAGCCGGCCTTGCGCTCTGCAGCGTTAGGTGCGCTGATGATGAGAAACCACGTGGTGGCACTTAGTTACTTTTCCAGCTGCCTCAGCCTTTGCCGCAGCTCCTGTGTGGCGATGGGGAGCGAGATGTCTGAGGCGATGCTGGGGGTGGGCTCCTTGACCGAGACGTGGCCTGGGGAGCCCAGGAGGCTGGAGGGGCCTCTGCCCACGTCCTGCAGCCCCTGAGGGACGGCCTCAGGGGGCTGGGCCTTTTCTTCCACACCAGGCTTATCGCCGCCCCCAGTGACTGGTGCGGATGGAGCTGTGTCGCTGCCGCCAGGGCCTGGAGACCCGGAGATGTGAGATCTGACAGATGTTCTCCTCCCCTCTTTGGACACCGAGGGCCGTTTGACTTGAGCCGAGTGCCGGTGGTCTGGAGGTCTCTCTCGCTTTTCGAGACGGAGCACCTAGGGGTGAAGATGAACATAAAAATTCAACGTGGCGACACTGGTAACACCCTAACCCTGGAACAGCTTGGGATGTCTTTATCTGCAAACACTTAACACTTAGCTCAAAACTTTTTTTTTTTAAAGGAAAGTGTAAGTAACCAAAATATCACTTCTGTGATGCAAACACCATTTTTTCCCCTAGAGATGGGTCTTGCTAAGCTTCGCAGGCCGAGTGTCATGGCTGTCCACAGGCACAACTGTTGCGCATTATACCCCAAGCTCCCGGCCTCAAGAGATCCTCCCCAGTCAGCCTGCCAAGTAGCTGGGGCAACTTCAATGCCTGTGTCTTCAGCCTCTGGTGGCGGCAAGAGGGTGGCAGCAGTGATAAGCCTGCTGTGGAAGAGAAGGCCAGCCCCCTGAAGCTGACCCTCTGTGGCCACACAACCTGAGCAGAAGTTCCTCCAGCCTCCCGAGGCCACGTCTCAGTCAAGGAGCCCCCTACAGCACTTCTGTGTATTCCTGTAGTCTCTTCCATTTGCACATATTTCTACACAATTGCAGGACAATGTTTTTACTGCAAAGCCCAGAACTGCACTTCCTAGACAGAAGACCAAATCCACCATATTCTACATAGGTGGTTTCCACGTGGAGCCTCCAGAGGAAAGAATTAAGTCCAGAACCTCTGCTGCTATCCAACAAGATCACCCCGAACAACCTGGCATGAGTGCAGGAGCAGGGGCTACCCACAGGGCCTGGGGTCTCCCAGCTGTGTGAGCACAGAAGCTGGTCCCAGGCTGGCTTGAGCAGAGTGTATACCTTGTACAGGTACCCACAGGGCCTGGGGTCTCCCAGCTGTGTGAGCACAGGAGCTGGTCCCAGGCTGGCTTGAGCAGAGTGTATACCTTGTAAATTGCTCCACTCTGCGGTGACTGTGATGCTTGAAGTTTTTTCTGCTTTTAGGAAATAACGCTGCGGTGAACATTTTTATGTTCCTGGTCTCCCCATACTTTGTATCACTAAAACAAAAGTCAGACAAGCTAAGGAACCCTCAGATGAGTGGCTCAGGGATGCTGCATCTCCCTGTGGAGGGGTGTGTGACACCCCCAGTCTCTGCCAGGAGCAAGGAGGCTGTTCCCATTGCCCCCTCAATAGAAGACATCTGTTTTAATTTTCTAAAAAAGCTGGCACTTCATTTTAATTTGCATTTCTTTGATTCATAAATTTTAGTATTTACCCATTTGTTTGCCAGTTTTACCTTCAACATTTGCTTAGCTATTTACAAATGCATCATGGTTTATTTTGGACAAAAATTTTTTTTTTCCTGTAAGTCCTACTGTCTTGTGGAGTTTTATTAAATTTTCTCTCCTGAACAACCTTTGAAAACTTAGCCTTAGGAGAAAACCTTGTTGATACCAACAGTAACACTTCTTGGGCCAAAGGGTAACGGTAAGGTTGGCTGGGCTCACAGGACAGAACTCTGAGTAGCCGTAGGCCAGCTAAGGAAACCTGGAAACGTGGCCTGTTCTATGGCTGGGTCCAGCCTGTGTCTCCTCCCCGGCGCCCTCTGGTGCCCCAAAAGCATTTCCTCCCTACGCCGGCACCCTCCTATGGCCCAGAGCTGCCGCTGACACAGAGCTTTCTTCACCTGCCTCCTGCTCAGAGCCCACGAGCATCCCTGCCAGCATCTGCCTCCCCATCCCCTACGGTGTTCACTGCAGGACAACACGATACCCGGAGCGCAATCTTCATCTTGATAGTGCTGTTTGGACCCGAGTTGCTGAGTTGGAAGCGCTGATTCAGTGTCATGTCCTCACTGGTGAGCAGCTGGCTGAGGGGGATCTGCAGGTTCCCCAGCGAACACTGGTGCTGCTCGTCTCTGACCTGCAAAACACCGGGTGGAAACAGTGGCATAACTAGGATAATATCTGCAGGACCGTTCTGGTATCTAAGCTCCTGACCCTTTGTCCTCAGAGATACGAACTCAGAAAACATATAAAGGGGCCAGACGCAGTGGCTCAAGCCTATAATCCCAGCACTTTCGGAGGCCAAGGCAGGCAGAGCACCTGATGCCAGGGGTTCGAGACCAGCCTGGCCTAACATGGCGAAACCCCATCTCTACTAAAAATACAAAAAAAAAAAAAAAATAGGCAGGGGCTTGTAGTCCCACCTACTTGGGAAGCTGAGGCCTGAGAATCACTTGAACCTGGGAGGGGAGGAGGTTGTAATGAGCCAAGATTGCACCACTGCACTCCAGCCTGGGTGACAGAACGAGACTGTCTCAAAAACAACCAACCAACCAAACAAACAAATAAACAAGCAGCTGAACTCGAATGCCTGAAGAACAGAGAAAACTAAAAAAGAAAAGAAAAGAAAAAAACAAATGTAAAGGTCCACAGACAGTATTAGTCTGTAAGAAAGATATTTTAAAAAACCCAAACATATTTCCGCCATATTCTCTTAAGTAGTGTTTCCATAATGACTCACATCGTACAAAATTTCCTGAGAAAGACACAAAGCACTGTTAACAAGCAAAATATCTGCTATTTCCTCATCATAGATTACGATAAGCACAGAAAGAAATGATACAATAATGACAAATGAGAAAAGCAGTAATGACAATAATGACCAATCAGTTAGGAGAACCCTGGGTTAATAGGCAATAGTCTACCTGTCTTTAACCCCTGGGAAATTGGTGGAAACACATTCATAACGCTGTATAAAGTTTCTACTTATGACATTTATGGAGACAATACATTTCTAAGTATCTTTTAGGCTTTCCCTATTCAAAAGCCACATTAAAGAAAATTTGCAGCATTTGCTTTAAATTCAAGACAATTTTTCCTTTGCTTTAAAAAGTAGAGACAGGATCTCACTACGTTGCCCAGGTTGGTCTCAAACTCTTGGCCTCAAGTGATCCTCCCATTGTGCTGAGATCACACTCAGCCTTCCAAAGTGCTGAGATTACAAGTGTGAGTCACTGTGCCCAGCCTCTTTTTCCTGAATAATAACTTTCTGCAGTATCTATGCAATAGGAATTATTCCTGTTAGATGGCTGTAATATAAAATAATTTAATCACGTAAGAACTCTGAAGGTTTCTCAGGCTATGCAAAAATGGTCAGAGAAATTAACAGGAAAACCTAAAAGCTTGATTGCTTATTTCCTTTTAAACTATAATCAACCATGACAATGTCTGTAGAACTTAAAAAGTTATTTTTAAAATCCAAGTTCCAGTAAGCATAGATTATTTTGAGAATATAGGAGTATAGTTTATGAAGGAAAAACCAGCTAGACAAAACACAAATCCTTTTGAAAAAACAGAATGTAAATGCATCAGGTTGGTGCAAAAGTAACTGCAGCTTCAGTGGCAAAAACCACAATTACTTTTGTACCAACCTAATAAAACAACCAATACAGAATAATGAGAGAAGGCTGGGCAAGCAAGCCCAGCATGACCAGGTCTCTGTGGCACTTTCAGGAGCCCAGCTGTTCACACACATCTATCAGAAAGGTTCAAGACACAAGACGCGAAAACAGAGGCTGAGGAAAAAAGATAAATTCAGGTACATCAGAGATGTAAACATCACATTCCTCATACCTGATAATGAGAGGTAGATGGAGAGCTAGTAAAGCCCCAGAGGACCTGGGCAATGCCACCAACCACTGCGAGCTGCTGGCATTCACGAGACACTCGCCAATACCAGAAAGGCACACAGCCTGCAGGTGCATGTGGAACGTGTCCCAGGACAGGCAGTGCTCTGGGCTCCAAAGCCTGTCTCAAATGTAAAAGGGCTCACAGCATACAAAGTATGTACTCTGACCACTATGAAATGAAATTGGAATCAATAATAGAAAGATTTTTAAAAATCCCCAAACATATGGAAACTAAGTAACAGACCTTTCAATAAATAACTCATGCATGGGTCAAAGGAATAAACTGAAAGGGAAATTAAGGAAATAGTAGTAATGTAAAGGGACATTAAAAGAAGGGAAAATAAAACCACAAGTCAAAATTTGTGAGATGTAGCTAAAGCAGAACTTAAAGTGAAATTTATTGGAGTAAATGCTTACATTATTAAAAAAAAAAAAAAGTCTCAGGCTTCTTAAGAAACTAGGAAAAGAGAAGCAAACAAGACCCGAAGTAATTGGGATTGAAATAATAATGATCATAGTAGAAATCAATGAAATAGTAAAAGAAAAGCAATAATGATAATTAAACAAAAAATTGGTTCCTTGAGAAAATAAAATCAATAAACATCTTATAAGACTTATCAGGAAGAAGAGAGAAGACAGTCTAGGCACGATGGCTCACGCCTATAATCCCAACACTTTGGGAGGCCAAGTGGGAGGCTGGCCTGAGCTCAGGAGTTTGAGACCAGTCTGGGCAATATGGTGAAACCCCGTCTTCACACACACACACATACACACACCCCAAAACAGAAAAATTAGTTGGGTGTGGTGGCATGCACCTGTAGTGCCAGCCACTGGCACTACATTGGGATGCTGAGGTGTGAGGATTGCTTGAGCCCAAGAGGGCAACGCTGCAGTGAGCCATGACTGCACCACTGCACTCCAGCCTGGGTGACAAAGTGAGACCCTGCCTCAAAAATAAATAAATAAATAAAAAATAAAAGGCCGGGCGTGGTGGCTCAAGCCTGTAATCCCAGCACTTTGGGAGGCCGAGGCGGGTGGATCACGAGGTCGAGAGATCGAGACCATCCTGGTCAACATGGTGAAACCCCGTCTCTACTAAAAATACAAAAAACTAGCTGGGCATGGTGGCGCGTGCCTGTAATCCCAGCTACTCAGGAGGCTGAGGCAGGAGAATTGCCTGAGCCCAGGAGGCGGAGGTTGCGGTGAGCCGAGATCGCGCCATTGCACTCCAGCCTGGGCAACAAGAGCGAAACTCCGTCTCAAAAAACAAACAAACAAACAAACAAACAAACAAACAAAAAAAATAAAGATTGATTTATATAGCACTGATAAAGACAGTATGATACTGGCATAAAGACCGGCATATAGAACAGAAAAAAGGGAATTCCAGAAATACAGCCACACATATGGGCAACTAAACTTCTGGAAAGTTGCTAAGCTAATAAATTAGGGCCAAGAATGATCTTTTTAACAAAGATTAAACAACTGCACAACTGCTGAACAACTACACAGCCATATATATGAAAGAGACGCTGGGCACAGTGGCTCACAACTATGATCCCAGCACTTTGGGAAGCTGAAACAGGAGCATCACACCACGTGGACCCAGGAGTTTGAGAACAGTCTGAGCAACAAGTGAGACTCCATCTCTCAAAAAAAAAAAAAAAAAAAAAAAGAATTGGCCAGGCGTGGTGGTACCTGCCTGTAGTCCCAGCTGCTCTGGAGGCCAGGGTGGGTGGATTGCTTGAGCCTGGGAGGTTGAGGCTACAGTGATTTGTGATTATGCCACCACACTCCAGCCTGGGTAACAGAGTGAAACCCTGCCACAAAAACAAAGAGGCAGGGCACAATGGCTCACACCTATAATTGGGAGGTCAAGGTGGGCGGATCATTTGAACACAGGAGTTCAGGACCAGCCTGGCTAACATGGCAAAACCCCATCTCCACTAAAAATACAAAAATTAGCCAGGTGTGGTGGTACACACCTGTAATCCCAGCTACTCGTGAGGCTGAGGCAGAAGAATCGCTTGAACCTGGGAGGTGGAGTTGCAGTGACCAAGATTGCGCCACTGCACTCCAGCCTGGGAGACAGAGACACTGTCTCAAAAAGAACAAAAAATTAAAAATTTAAAAAAAGGAAAAAAAAAAAACAAAAAGTCTTACAAATTCAGTATTAAGAAGACAAATAACCTAACAAAAAAGACAGGCAAAAAAACTGAATAGACATTTCACCGCAGAAGATACACAGGCTGCAAACAAACATAAAAAGATGCTCATCATATTAGTGATGATACTGAAAGCACCGATCACCAGGAAACACCCCCATCTACCCACCAACAACACAGCACGAGCAAGACACAGAGGCAGCTCAGCTCACACTCACTTTAGCGGGCACGTAACGTGGCGCGATCTCTTTGGAAAACAACTTGGCAGTTTATCAATAAGCTAAACACGAATGCGGCTTTCTGCTCCGGGGTATTTTACACCAGAGAATGAAGGCGTATGTAAACACAGTCTTGAACATGATATGCAGAGCAGATTTATCTGTTTAACAGGTCTAAACTGGAAAGAATCCAATCTCTTATCCATGCCTTATTCACAGGTGAATGGATGAACAAATTGTGGTATTTCCGTAAATACTACTCAGCAATAAAAAAAGGCAAACTGTGGATATCTGCAACAACACAGGTAAACCTCCAAGTGATTATCACGAGAGAATACGGACAACAAGAGTCATACCGTGTAAGGCTATTTATATAAAATCCTAGAGAACATGAACAGCAATCTACAGTGACGGAGGGCAGGTCTGTGCGCCTGGGAGGAGGTCCGGGTACAGAGAGAACAAGGGAGCTTGGGGACAGTCTACTAATTCTCTTGATTGTGGCGATGGATTCCCAGGTGTATACAGGGGTCACGACTTGGCAAATTATACACAGTCAATTAATTCTCAACACATTCGTTAAAAAAAATGCAAATAAAATACCTCAACTTCAAGGTCCTGGCGCTTGGGATTGTGAATGAAGAAAGTGAAGTTTTCTTCCCACACAGGTTCGTTGGTTTTGTATCGAATCTGGAAGAAATACCCAGTTACCAACTCTGTGATAGTTTCTGTGGAAAAGGGCTATTCATTTAATGTGTTTAGAAGCTTAGGATGAAAAATAAAAAGAAGACAAAACAACAAACTAGAAGCTTAGGATGACTTTAAATCCCAAGACATGTATTTGCTGGTATGCACTATTAACTAGACTGTGAAAGTGTTCGAAAGATAAAGAGACAGTCTAAAGCCTTTGGAGTGTGTTACAAGGCCCCAACCTGTGTGTCCACTGATAAAGGCTTTGAGTGTGTGGCCCGGCCTCGGTTCTGCAATTACATTTGCACCAATGTGACAGTTCCTCCAACCTGAGGAGGGTGCTGCACAGGGGAACGTCTCTTCAACTTCTAACACTTCCCAGTGAGTGACGGCCTATAGCTTTGGGTAATTTCTAAAACATTCCTTCTCCAGTAAGGAAACTAACAGCACTGGTTGAATTTTAAGCACTGTTGGTTATCTTTCTAATATTTACAGAGCGCTCAAGACAAACTTAGGATTTGTTCCCATGTGTCTACTCATAAAGCAACAGCACATTCATCTATTATTTTCTAATAATAGTTTATATTAGTAGTTATTAATAGTAGCTTATATTACTATTCATTAATATTATATATATACTATAAACTACTACATATAAATGATTATATATATATATGATAGTAGTTATATAATAGTAGCTTATATTAGTAGTTATTTTTATTTCTCTCTGATACTTCTGGGAACATCTGGGAACAATGTAATGTTTTGTTTTCTGAGACGGAGACTTGCTCTGTTGCCCAGGCTGCAGTGCAGTGGTGTAATCTCAGCTCACTGCAACCTCTGCCTCTAAGTTCAAGTGATTCTCCTGCCTCGGCCTCCCAATTAGCTGGGATTACAGGTGCCTGCCACCATGCCTGGCTAATTTTTGTATTTTTAGTAGAGACGGGGTTTCACCATATTGACCAGACTGGTCTTGAATTCCTGACCCCAAGTGATCCACCCACCTCGGCCTCCCAAAGTGCTGGGATTACAGGTGTGAGCCACCACATCCAGCCGCTAAAGTTATTTTTAAAAATGAACAGTATATTTCTTATTAAATCAAGTAGCTGGTTATCTATCAAATGACTGATTCAAGAAAAAAGGAAAAGATCTGAAAAGCCATTATCTCAACGCCCACGCTATCACACAACTGAATGCATTTTGCAGCCCGGAGCCCCACGCCCCAGGTGAGACGGCAACGCAGACAGAGCCCACGTGACAAGCACCGAGGCTGAGTGCGGAGGCCCGCCGGAACCTTACCTTGCTTTCCTGGGCCTTGTGCCCAACTGACATCTGGACAAGAGGGTTTGGGTTGCTGCTTATTTTCTTTCCCGACTACCCAAAACAAACAGAAAACAGACAAAATAAACAAACACATTTTGAAATGGGTCTTAACCAAAACCAAAATTATTGGCTTACATTAGTAGTTATTTTTATTTATCTCTGATACTTCTGGAAACATCTGGGAAAAATGTAATGGGAGAACATATGCTACCCACATCCCAAACCATAACTACATCTGCCATGAAATAAATTAAGGAAAAGGTTCATTTACACACAAATTTTAAAGGTTAGGGTCTTGTATTTTTAAAGCAAACTACTTTGGAAAACTGAATTTTCTAAAAACTCTTAATGTTAATCACAGTTTTCGAAAGTTCTTTTATTTATGAAGATGATAAAAACGAATAAAGTACAATTAATGGAAACAAAAAACCACAAGAAAGGACAAATGTAAAAGAATTTAAAATTCAGATTATTTCTCTGGTTGGAATAAAAATAGTACAGAGTGTCAGATATATAGTTTTTCAGTCTTAGTGTCTTCTGTTTGAGCATTTTTAAGCTTTCAGGTATCAAATCTTGCTTACCAGCTGCTAAACAATTTTGACTGGAAGAATAAACATCAGTTTAGAATCACAATAAATTAAGCAGATATAAGTATGAAGAAAAATTCAGGAAAAGGAAAAATGGTAAGAAGTATACATTAGCACAGAGAGTTGATAGGAGAAGAGTAAAACAGCACATACGTGTGACATGAGGTTTATTTATAACTTAGCCCCACAAGAAGATGCAGTTAAATATCTGTGTTAGTGGAATTAATTAGAAGGTCACAAAAACATTTTTGAGTTACATAATTTTAGAGTGAAGCCTCAACACTACAGCAATGACAGAAATAGGTGTCAAAATCCTATCATTATTGGAAAAAAAATTACTAGCTCAAACCTACTGCGATAATTTATTTTCTGGTTCATCTTTTTGATGTGAATGAATTCTGCAAAATAAAATAAATACTGTTGAAAAAGTTTCCAAGGCTACAGATTACTGTGGCAGAGAATACTAATTTCCTCCTAAGTTAATTTTCTCCTTTTTCCTTTAATATTAGAATTCCCAAGTTTTAGCTAAGCACAAGACCTCTGTAAATAAAGATTTTGTTTGCAAACCTCCCCTGCAGTCAGCCCCAGCCAAGTAATTAACTTCTGGCCTCATAGGAGGCTGTGTCCACCCCTTGGGCTGGAGCCACAGGTAGCTCATGGCAGAGCCCCGGGCCAGAAATCCCTGAATTTAGAGGGAGACCAATTACTGGTACTGGTAAGTCAGTTCTATAATTAAAGATACAGAAGCCGAGCTTGCTTCTTAACTAACATAGCTCGTTTCTTAACTAACATAAACATTTCATCTCTGAAAAAGTAGCCACTCATTTAGATTGACTGCGTCTTATCAGTTTTTTTTTTTTTTTTTTTTTTTGGAGACAGTTTCATTCTTGTTGCCCAGGCAGGAATGCAGTGGCATTGGCTCACTGCAAGATCACTGCCTCCTGGGTTCAAGTGATTCTCCTGCCTCAGCCTCCCAAGCAGCTGGGATTACACGCACCTGCCACCATGCCAGATAATTTTTGTATTTTCAGTAGAGACGGGGTTTCACCGTGTTGCCCAGGCTGGTCTGGGACTCCTGACCTCAAATGATCTGCCTGTCTCAGCCTCCCAAAGTGCTGGGATTACAGGTGTGACCCACCATGCCTGGTCATCAGTTTTAAAATATATACTTTTCTTGCAACTTTCTAACATCCCTGAAAACAGAATGAAACTTAAATCGATGATAATATATACCTTTTTGGGGTATATATTGAGGCTGGCAGTAGTGAGAGTTATCACTGCCCTAACCGATTTATGTTGCTTATATTTTCTGTTTAGGTATAACTGTCAGTGACATGATAAAACTCCATTTATCCTAAGTCTAAAATTCTCTATGTATAAAATAAACACTGTCAAAACTTAACGACATTTAAAAATCTTAGTGGTTCATAAAATAATGGTGCATCTTAAAATGGATGTTTTCAATTCGATGAAATAAGGTTAAATTATTAAGTTTTCTACCATGATGCAATGTTCAAAATACATCAGTACAACTCAAAGGCACAAAGTATAATGAACATATAAGCATATGTCAGACTGTCTTGAACTTAAACAGCTCTATTTATCACTTAATTATTGAGACCTAACTATTGCCTCTATTTGAATCTCATGCATATTTACAAAATGGGCATTTTTGGAACCCAAATGAGCTAATGTAATAACATAACAATTACAATATTTATTTAATGTGTTCAATAATTCCATGAAGAAGATACTCCTTCCATTCCATAAATAACAAAACAGAGTGGATTAAGTATCTTGTTGGAGGTCACACTGCTTGGTGAATAGCTGGGCTGCAATTCAAATCCAGTCTGATTTCAGGGCCCTTGGCTTTAATGTTATGCTCTCTTGGTCAATAACCTTCAGGTAGCAAAGAAGAGTGTCTAGGTAATTCCTTTCAGTGTTCTGGAGGGCACAGTTATTTCCACTACTGTGCTAACTAGTACTCCACAGGAGGAAGCCCTAGTAACCCAGATCTTATTTCCCTGGTGCAGGATGAAGTGAGGGTTCGCAAACACTACACTAAAAAGCAGACTCTGCCAGTCTCCTGCACTTTTGAAATCTAACTCATTTTGCCAGATGAAACTGGTTTAAAATGATTCCAACTTCTTTGGGATAAAATTTTCTTTAAATAATTACATTAAAAATTCCCAGCCTCCCCATCCCCAAATTTAAGCCTAAAATGTTCAAAGAAATTAGAGAAAAAATAATAAAACGTTAAGTCATAAGAAAACGTTTACCAATTTACCAGAGAACACAGGCAAATGTCATATTTTAGGGAGTGGAGCTTAGTTTTCAATAGACCTCATTTAATGAAGTTTATAGCCTCTTAAAAGATCTATCACCCAACCGAGCAGCACCAAAAGCCATGAAGTTGCTGACTCAGAGATGACCCTAACTCATTATATTGGAAGAGGTGATATTTAAATGTATATTCACAGTTCACAAGGCATACCTTTAAGTCATGATCTAAACATCAGTTAAGATCTTTTCTTTTTCTTTAGACAGAGTTTCGCTCATTACCCAGGCTGGAGTGCAATGGCGCGATCTCGGCTCACCGCAAGCTCCGCCTCCTGGGTTCGAGCAATTCTCCTGCCTCAGCCTCCCTAGTAGCTGGGATTACAGGCACGCACCACCACGCCCAGCTAATTTTTGTATTTTTAAGAGACGGGGGTTTCACCTTGTTGACCAGGATAGTCTCGATCTCTTGATCTCGTGATCCATCCACCTCGGCCTCCCAAAGTGCTGGGATTACAGGCATGAGCCACCATGCCCGGCCAGTTAAGATTTTAAATAGAACTTCTACATCACAATTTTCACAAATTCAAATCCAATTAAAATAAGACATATTTGAATCACCTTAGAGAGAATTACCTAAGGCCAACAGGAAAATAATTAATCATATTAGTACTTTATTAAATTTACCTTCAAAGTGGACTTAAATTGTTCTAACTACTAATTATTCGATAACAAAAGTAGGATCTCTTCTACTAGACAATTAATTACTATATTAATATGGGAGGTAATTTGCCAATAAACTTATGAGACAAAGTATCATCTCTTTCAATATGTTTTAATTAACTTTGTAACCTGAAGGGAAAACTATTAGTTTACCTTTAAAGCTCTCTGAACTGCAGTCTTCTTCAAGACATCGGGGTTAAATTCTAATGGGTTACTCTTTCAAGTCAGAAGAAAACGAATATGCCAAGGGTTAATAAAACATGCAATGAAGTTTATGTAAGGTTAAAGACATGACAATTTATGGGAATAAACAAAGAAAAATCTTTAAACAAAACCACCAATTACACAACCAACCAAAAAGCCACCTACAAAATTCTTTATGCACAAGACTTTCTCTTAGAATGAACCTTTAATCTATAAATACCAAAAGACTCCTCCTTTTCCTCTATGACTAATAATTTTTTACTACCCCCACCCTCCTGATCCTTTGTGGTTTTAAAAATATAAGAGTGAGACTTTAGGAAAGGGTTCTATTTACTATTCTTTGCCTGAATAAACACCTAAAATACCCATCATTATTAAAGGTTTTATCTGAAGTACAATCAATGGTGCACAGCTGTCCCAGTCACTCTCAAGCACGGTCAGGTCCTGGAAAAGCTGCTGAGACGCACCTTCCCACCCAACACCCAGCGTCCTTTTCAGGGGTAGGAGTCAGGCTGGCTGGATCCCTGCAGAAGCTTCTTGGGCTCTAAATATATGATTATAGGTTTTATGTTTACTTTGATTGATTTTTTTTTCAATTCATTCGTTTCTTGCCCTCAAAAGGGCAAGACTATGTTGTTTTGCAAGATCCTTCTAGGACTAGTATTCAAGATTAAGTAATTTATCATTTTAACTGTAATTAACTTCAAACTTGTGACAAGCCTAACTGGTTTTTTTATTATTTTTTTTTTTTACTAAACAGAAGATTTTATAATGCTGAAAGATTAATAATTAGCCTCTCAATCTTCCATGACTGGCAGGCCAGGCCAGGAGAGAAGATGGAACATGTAGACAGGTAGGAATTCCACGTGACCCAAAGCTGCTGGTGGAGCTCTCAAAGGTCCCTGGATTCACTGTGTCCATCACTGGGTGGAGCCTGGACAAGGGCATTCTTCACACAACTCCAGGTGCTCATGTACAGTGAGGATGGGAACTCTGCTGCCCTGAAGTTCGCAGACTGACATTCTTCAGATATCCTAAGAACCCTTCCTGAGGCCCACTTTTGGATAGATATGGCCTGTACCCAAGACACTTATTCTAACATGCATCAACTGAAGTAGAACAAGGAGAGAGGCTGTGGCGTGTGGGTAGTGGTTGCAGGAGAAGCCATATAAGGCTGTGGACAGCTGTGTGGCTCTGGGGATGAGATGTACTAGACTATGCAAGTGCTTCAGGCAGGTGCCCCATCAGGGGGCCTCTGGAGTTACATGTCTTGTGGCCTTGGGTTACTGCCCATCAGGAGGCAGTGGTAGCAACCTGTGGTTTCTTTGTTTATTTATTTATTTATTTATTTTAGATGGAGTCTTGCTTTGTCACCAGGCTGGAGTGCAGTAGCATGATCTTGGCTCACTGCAACCTCCGTTTCCCGGGTTCAAGCCATTCTCCACCTCAACCTCTGGAATAGCTATAACTACAGGCATGCACCACCATGCCTGGCTAATTTTATATATATATATATTTTTAGTAGAGATGGGGTTTCACCATGTTGGCCAGGATGGTCTCAATCTCCTGGCCTCATGATCCGCCCACCTGGGCCTCCCAAAGTGCTGGGATTACAGGAGTGAGCCACTGACCTAGTCTTTTTTTTTTTTTTTTTAATGACAGCCAAAATAATTCGCACAAGACACCTAGCATCAACAGGCCTGAGGCCCTCCACAGTGGTGACTATTATCCAGCTAGCACTGCTGTGTTTAAGGCATTAGTGCAGATACTATTCACCTCAGATGAATTCCACACACAGACTTATTAACCTATAAACTTAATAAAGTGATAATAAATTTGCTTTGTACTAGGGTGGAGTGGACAGGAGGTGCCAAGCACCCAGAATCTGGGTCCACACTGAATTCTAATCCCAGTTCTGCCATAACACCATGCCTGGGAATCTCTAGTCTGCGTCATCTGGGTTCTTGGTGCTGTCTGAATTTCCTTATCTGTAAAGTGATAATGAGGGTCTGGAGATTAAACATCTGGCACCCTGAGACCCCTGCCTGGCTCCTGGAACATGCTTATTAAGTACGCTGTCATATCAGGCTTAAGATGCCAAAGCTGGCCACTACAAGTCAGAGAAAGTCCTTCTTGTTAAAGCCTGAAATGAAAGCCCAGGATTTGATCAAAAGGAGGAGGGCAAAGTTCTAAGAGTCCACATGACGAAGTGGTCGTCTCCAGCCTAGGAGAAATTCCTTTAAGTTTGCAGACGGGGAATGCTGGTGGTAATGCACTTCTGGAACTGGAATTAAAGGTGACTTTAAGCGACAGGAATAAGACAGCATTGGGTTGCCAGCTGTCAAAGCCTTTACAGTGACAGCAAAATGGTCTCAGCCTTCTGGGGAAAAAAGGAGGAAGCACTGATCTGACTTCATTTGAAAACCAATGCGTGGGAAAAAAAGTTCGAATTTATTTTACAGGACATCTTAGGTGATGCATATGTTCTAACAATGAAGCACATCAGGTTTCTTTGATAATGCCGCAGGAAAGCTGATTTTGGTCACCCTCCTGATCTGAGTTCAGAGATATTTCCTTTCTGCAAAAGGCAGCTGTAGAATGGGAAAAAGCAACTTGGAAAAGCTATTGGAGATAAACTAACAATTTACACAGTGGAGCGATGTTGTCACATTTATACCAGTCTACGATGAAATGTTCTGCTAACAATTACCAGAAGCAGAAAATTATTTTCTCAAAAGTAACAGAATGTGCTGCCATTATGCACCACTGACCTCATTCTGACTTTTTAAAAGGCCTTAGACATGTATGAGTAGACAGTCAGAGAGACCATGGTTACCACTTATTACTGGTGTGACTCTGAACAGCTCATCTAGCCCTTCAGGGTCTTAATTTTCCTCATCTTTAAGACAGGGCAAAATATTTGCTCTTCAAGTTTTGCCCCCTCCCCTCCTGCTACTTTAACAAAATAAGAATAAACTGAGAATGCATAGGGAAATCTTTTGGAAACAGAAATGAAAACTCTACAAAAATGCAAAGCACTATCACTACTCTAATAAGGGACAACTGGGCCAAAGGAATCTCACTGACTACTGGATGAAGTATGCAAAGTGACTTTCTAGGCTAATGACTAAGACGCTGCTGGCCCGTGTGACCCTAAAGCAAGTGAAAATGGCTCTCTATTGAAGCAAAGTCACCAACAACAGCACAGGAGTCCAGGTGCCAGACATACAGACACAGGCAACATCTAATGAGACGGGAACAAAGATATGCTCGATTATCCACTCCAGGACGTTCTTTATGTGTTTTAAAAGAAAGCGAATCACAAACTTAAATAGTTTTCTTCTCCCTTAGAAGTTCCAGGTAAACCCTGTGAGAGAAGGCAAATTTTTATTAAAAAATGGGCATATTTCTGTCTTCTCATGACCATCCCCCAAGTGACTGAGAGTTGATTACACAGCAGGGTTTTCAAAGAAAACCCTGGTTCTGACTCTTCCGTGTTTGGTCAGGAGGGGATAGAAGGCCAGGTGTGGTGGCTCACAACTGTAATCTCGGCACTTTGGGAGGCTGAGGCAGGAGGATTGCATGAGGTCAGGAGTTTGAGATCAGCCTGGCCAACATGGTGAAACTCTGTTTCTACCAAAAATACAAAAATTAGCCGGGAATGGTGGCAGGTGCCTATAATCCCAGCTACTTGGGAGGCTGTGCCAGGAGAATTGCTTGAACCCCCCGAGGCGGAGGTTGCAGTTGGCATAGACCACACCATTGCACTCCAGCCTGGGCAAGAAGAGCAAATTCTCCATCTCAAATTAAAAAAAAAAAAAAAAGGAGTGGGGGGAAAAGGGAAGGAATAGCAGTTTTTTAAACAGTTTTGAGAACGTTTACCAAAAAATCTACATCTCACATTGACATGAACCACAAGAAAATGAACTTTAATCATTATGGCTTCCTTTCTTCCTCAGAAGAGCTTTTTTTTAATGAGCCGGTAGCAGTTTAGGAACGGAAGGCTGTTTCTCCACTCACCAGGGCTGTTCATCTCATTGTCAGATGTTCTCACCAATGTTACAACAGTGTTACGTTTCACAAAACAAGCACAAAATGAACACACAATAATTAAAATCATGCAAGGAAATAAAAGCATGCGACATCAGTCCACCGCCAGCCAACTGCGTTAGAAGTTCCAGTCCACATTCTGGCAGTCTCCAAACAGACAAAGGAAGAAAGAACCCCAGAGGACTCACAAATAGTGCTCTATAGACTGAGGTGGTATTTTCACAAAACACTAGTCCCGATGCTCGCCTCTCTTTTAAGTAGCCACACCCAAAGCTTCCCTCGTAGATGCTCTTAGGGCAGTGGAGCCGGGGGAGAAAGCAGAGAATGGTGGATTGTGGTCAATGAGAGCACCAGGAACACCACAAACAGTGCAGAGGCAGAGCCAAAGAATCCCGCAGCTCGCGGGGACGCCCCTTAATCCAGTGCCCGGCACGCTCTGCAAAGATGCTTTGCCTCTGATGGCCACAGAACATTCCATGCACAAAGTGCCCTTTTAACAGAAGATCAACACATTCTCTTTGGGTTTTTTTTTTTCTTATGTGACATTATTCAAACTTCAATTTAATGTGGCAAAACACACAGTTCTAAAGAGGCCTAATCCTTTGTATCTAATTCACTGATACTATTCTCTCTACCCTAAAATAGAAAGCAAATTCACTTCCATCAGGCATTATGGAAGACTTTATAACAAACATTACTGTGGCTAAAAGTGAAACATTCTACTGTATAGAAATTCTATGGAAAGATTAAATACTTAATGAAATAACTTTTTCCAAATTGAAATTGTAACAAAGTCATAGACTTTAGACTGAAAGACTGGTCGAAGGCTAAGGTAAATACTTTAAGAGAAATGTAAGAATTTAAGAAGTCAAAATCAGTCAAGAAAGCTTCATTGAAATAAACAGTACAAATATATATAATTACATACAACAAAAAGTACAATCACATCCTCCCAGTATTAAATATAAGTGATCAATCATATCTTAATTGTAGGTAACCTTAAATAAAAGGAACGGATGCACAAATATTTACTTCGTTTCTGGGCAAAGCTCAAGGAAATGCAGTTTTCAGAACGTGGAAGGTGCTGGAGGAAGCTAAGGGTGTGCATCTGGTGAACTGCGGAGCGCAGTCTGACCGTGGCAAGGCGAGACTGCGTGGGGGTGAAAGGCTGTAACTTAGGTCCATAGTGTGTGTTGAGAAGCGAGTTCAACGCTTCTTTGCCTTCGTTCCTATTTCCCTGGTAAACACTGACAAAGGGAGGAAAAACGCAGGAAGATGATTTGTTTACAAATGCCCTTGGGTGGGTGAGTATTTACTGTGGAGGAAGAATTATGCAGCCGACAACTTTGGGAGGAAAGAAACTTCTGCATCGGCGGCAGCAGTCTCTCCTCCAACAAAAGCAGCCGTGGACGTGATGAAATAAAAGACTGAGTGTCTCGTCAGCAAGTGCATGGGCACTCCAAAGAACCGTCCAACAAGAAGACACGACGAAGGCCGACACCACTGCCCTCAGCAGTGGGGTTTAAGGCAGGGTGGCGGGAGGTCACACTACGCCTCCCAAGACTGAATTAGCCCTGAGATCTTCCTTCTCTGTGGTTACAGTCATTACCTATAAAACAGCATTTTCCAGTTTTTCTCTAAGAATGAAACAATTCTGATACAAGCAAAAGTATATGCTTTTAGGCAGAGTGTCTTGTACTTGGCAGATCATTCCAAAACAAGGTTTCCTTTTGTTCTTAGAAACATCCCAGGCACCCAGAGGCCGCACGCTCGTGCAGCAGCACCATTCTGCCACCTGATGTCCTGGGGATCACCAGGGCCCAGCAGCTCACACACAGCCCTGTGACAGCCAAGATGAGTCTGGATTTTGTAATCAGAGCTGCTTCATTTTATTCTCATTTCAAATAGAGACAATTTCCATCCTAAGGCAACTAAGTTTTAATACTTAGTGATTTTCTAGAGGGTCATCTTCTCCTAACCACTAGTCATCTTCTTTTCCTATGTACTGGATAAATCCAACTAAACATGTAAATGTAAATACATGCACTCCCAGAGCAAACACTAACACTCTCCTCTTCGCTGCCACTCTCTTGCCCTAGGACGTGAAAGGATGTGAAGCGAAAACACAAGACGAGAACAGGTGACGCAGAGTGCTGCAAAAAGCAGTGGTTATGAGCCAGAGCAGCTGCTAGGAAGGAAGCACCCCAATGTGTTACCACTGTGTTACCTACTGGAAGGTTCCTTGCTGAATCCAAGTACAAGATCAGCAATGCAGAAGAAAGACCATCGCTGGCTTGGTCTTTGTCAGCTTTGATGTCAGTTAGCACCTAAAGGGAAAGGAAAAAAGCCTTAGCAGCCATGTTTCCATAGGATTGGAGATGATTCCTGATTCTAGAATATTGATTACATTAAAAATAAGAAATGTGAGAAACCATCCAATCCATGCAATAGAGATAGAACTAAAACAATAACTAACTTTTAAATAACAAGACTATCATTCCATATAGATCAACTGAATTAAGCACTCAGGTGATTTCTGGCTCTAATCCCTGTAATACAACAAGCACAGAACTGAAGATCTCATAAAACAGGTGTGAATGACCTATAAAATTTCATTTAAAAAATTCCATTATCTTAAGAAAAATTCCATTATCTTTAATTTATCCCTGATGCTACTGTAGTGAATTATTACACAATAATGAAAATTACTGTTATAATTGTTAAAAAAATAAAGTAGTAACACAACTTAAAGAGACCAATATCCGTTAATGACGCATAGTTGGTTGAGCAGTTTTCAAGAGAAAACCCTTCACAGCACCTTATCGAGGTTCGATGCATTTGGTATTAGCGTGAGCCACTCCAGTCTCAAGTGCAGCTTCCCCTTGGGAACCTCGTCCAGAGTGAACCACTGAAGAGAAAATGCTTAAGTTCAGCAAAGTTCTTCTGAATCAAAAATCCAAATTCAACCCAGTCTCTACAAATGCTACATGCTGTTCACTAACTGTGAGGCATCAACAGTTCTCAGTGACATGAAGACTGAGCCTCATCATATCCAGCTCCACGCTCTGTGGATGCCTGTGACCTCACGTTTGGAGACAATGGCAGAGGCAGGGGTGAGCAGACCATTCTAAGTGCTTTACATACACCAAGCCCTCGACCCCACAGGAACCCTAAGTCAAGTAGTAGTATTATCTCTACTTTACACATAAGAACTCAAATGTTTTCTAGCAATACCTAGAGACAGAAAAGTCTTCTATGAATGGACTTCTTTTTTTTGAGATGGAGGTCTTGCTATGTTGCCCAGGCTGGGCTCAACTGATCCTCCTGCCTCAACCTCCCCAGCAGCTAGAACCACAGATGTGGGCAAGCATGCCCCACCAAATGGCCTTTAATGGAACGTACAGGGCAAGAGATAACACAATAATGATTCCAAACACTGAATTTCAGTATCAAATAATCTGTTTGTTCGAATTCATCACTATATATCACTATCTATTAATTAATAAAATAGTATACAGTTGTATCAGCTGAAAAGCCACGAAATAATTAATCAACGATGCTCCTGAAATGCTAAGTGATAGAAGTCATGAGCAGGACTATCCACTCAGTGCCTGGCACTCCCAAGACAAGGAGATATCATGGCCAATGAATGCTGAACACTCAAGGGAGGGAAACGTGTGATCATGAAAGCAGCAGAATTCAATGCTTCTGTTTAATTTTGCTTCATTTATCTAAATCTTTCCATCTTTTAGAGGCCACCATAAACATTTCCTTTTTGATACTTTCTATTCTCATAGCAACAAAAGGTGGAAGTTGAGTCTCCTTGCCATGGATTTCCACCATCTCTACAGGCATCTCTCCCATGAGACGCCTCACTGACCACACTGTAGCTTATCCATGATTCCCTCCAACCATCTGAAAATCTCCACTGCTAGGGGGTGTCTCACACAGTCCTGCCCTAACTCCTGCAGAGGATTACATGTTTGTCTGCAATAAAGTCAGTTTATGCTTCATATTACTAAGAATTCCGAGCATATGGTAGGTACTCAACACACACCTGATTGGACTCTTGAATTTGTTTCTTTTCATTTGCTATTTCTAAAAGGTCTAAATTCTGAGTGTTTGTGAAGAAAATGCTGCTCATGTCATATTAATTGGCATTCCTACACTGTGTGACGCTGAAGTGGTGGCTCGCGGCTTCTCCAGCACAGGGCAGGGACTTAGTCAACAGCTGTAAATAGACCGACACTCCAGGGAAACTTACTTCATCTAAAAGGCGCTCCTTTTCAACTTCAATAAGATCAATCATAAGACTATAAAAATAATAATACAACAACTTTAGAACATAGAAACACATTTCTTCCGGAAACAACCTTAAGCATTTATTTGTCTATGCGCAAGCACTCCAAAAATGCAACAAAACGCTAGTAATTTATCAAGGAACAGACTATTCTTGCACGAGTTTCCTCCAGCTCACCCCCAGTGTCAGGAGAGTAAAGGAGAGTGAGGTGGAGTTTCTGTGAGCTCAGAATACTGCGTTTGGCCCAGGTGAAGTTAGAGCTGTAAAAAACAAAAACAACTCATTTTCCCTATAGTGTTATATGCATCATAAAATGTTTAAAAGCATCTCGACCCTCTTACTTTATACGTCCTCTTGGTAGGGTTGCACGTTGCTGTGGACTCCATCACTCACAGAGTGAACGCTAATCTCACCTTCTCTGGTCCTTGCTCCCAGGCTCTAGACCCATGCTGCCTCAAGCCTAATGGAAGCTCTCACTTTGCAAGTCTGAAAAGACGCCCATTCCAGTTCCCTAAACCTCCTCTGCTTCTAAGACTGGCACCATCCCCAGACACCAGATACGGCTAGATGGGATGATTATACTCCCTTTTTCTTATAGCCTCTTCCGCCCAACAGTGTATTTCTACACCACCTTCTCCTGGTCCTGGTCTAGGACACGTTCTCCTATTTGGTCTGCCAGTCTCTAAGCTCAGGCCCCGACAACCCAATCCACGCACTGATTTTTCTGGACTGCACGGCTGATCTATCACTGTCTGGCTTAAAATCTCTCAACTGTTCCTAGTTGTCCTAGGAAATCTACAAAACTCTGAAGTCAGGACACAACATGCAAGGCCATTCTTGATGAGGTATGAACCTCTCCAACGTATTCAATCTCTACATCTTTTCTGCCACAATAAATTCAATCAAACAATAACTTAATTAGGTTAAATATATTAGAAATAACTGACATCATTAACAAATAGTGGTCATACAATAACCTTTTTAAAAGCTTATTTTTAAAGCTATACTAGTTGTTCAATTGAAGTGAACAAATGAACATTTATTTTCCCAATGTAAATTACTATATCCTGACAAAAATTAATCCAGCAACTCAAAAAACTTAAAAAACCCATTGCTGCAACCTGGAATAGAAGTGTCCACTAGAACTCAGTACAGGGGCAGGTTCTGCATGTAGCTATTAAACCTTGTAAACAAAGAGAGTGCCACTCAGGAAGAGTTTTTAACTTAACTTTAAGGCTAGTGGCTGCAGTAATGGTCAGCACAGATCTAGAAGATTCTCTTCTCTTAAATGTGAAACATAGGAATAAAAATGTTTTAAGAAATCTAAAGTGAAACAATTGTTATATCTGAGAACCATTTAACACATAAAAGTATATAAAAATACTTTAAAACATATTTTTTATTATTAAAACAAAACAAAACAAGACCAACCCTAGGCCCTCCTCCAATAACCACCAAGGGTTTTGTTTACCTTCCTAAAAAGTCATCCTTGTCTGGGTCTTCATCAAAGAGCTCAATCTCTAATTCTTGTCCAGGATGTTCATACACTAAAGCCTAAAACATTAATGGTTAGTAGTTAATTGCATTTTTACTAACACAGTCACACACTGAGTATGACGACTGTAGTAAATATGACCATGTACTTTTCTCTGGTGGTAAATCCTATTTATTTATTTAGAGATAGAGTCTCACTCTGCCACCCAGGCTAGAGTGCAGTGGTGCAATCTCAGCTCACTGCAACCTCTGCCTCCCGCGTTCAAGCGATTCTATTGCCTTGGCCTCCCAAGTAGCTGGGATAACAGTTGTGCACCACCATGCCCAGCTAATTTTGGTATTTTTAGTAGAGATGGGGTCTCACCATATTGGCCAGGCTGGCCTCAAACTCCTGAACTTAAGTGATGCACCCACCTTGGCCTCCCAAAGTGCTGGGATTACAGGCATGAGCCATCGTGCCTGGCCGGTAAATCCTTTTTTAAAGCACTTTTTTTTTTTTTTTTTTGAGATGGAGTTTCGCTCTTGTTACCCAGGCTGGAGTGCAATGGCGCGATCTCGGCTCACCGCAACCTCTGCCTCCTGGGTTCAGGCAATTCCCCTTCCTCAGCCTCCTGAGTAGCTGGGATTACAGGCACGTGCCACCATGCTCAGCTAATTTTTTTGTATTTTTAGTAGAGACAGGGTTTCACCATGTTGACCAGGATGGTCTCGATCTCTTGACCTCGTGATCCACCCACCTCGGCCTCCCAAAGTGCTGGGATTACAGGCTTGAGCCACCGCGCCCAGCCCATTTATTTTTTTATTGTTGAATCACACATACCTCTTGGTGACAGGAGGTCAATGAAACACCTGCCACACAGTAACAGTCTACTGTGTTTGCTTCTAGGGATCCTGGGTTGGGTCCCAATGGGTCAAGTTCAATCACTCCAAAACAAAGTCATAGGACGTCACCCCCAAGCTTGGTGCAAGGCATGAGCCAGACCAAAGCTCTGGGACACATCTCTCTAGTCCTTGGAATAACCGCAAGTTACCTGCTTAGTACCACGCAGAGTAAGAAACTGGCAAGAGACCAGACTGACAGAGGAGTAGGGGAGAGGAAACTGGTAGAGTACAAATCACACTACTATGGCTGCACTGTAGGGCAGTTCTAGAAAGACAGTTCAGCCCTTAAAAATACACACCTCTTCATCCAGCAATTGCACTTTAAAGAGCTTTATCTGGGGAAAACTTGGGTGAGTAAAGAAAGAGACACTCACATACTTGTATAGCACTGTTTGTAATGCTGACCTGAATAGCCTAGGCCTCTCTGGGTAAACAGATGAAGGTGTCTTTTCAGTGGAGTGGTTATTAAAAACCATGTGGATCTCTATTCTTTGACATGTGAAGATGAACTGACTTTTTAATTTTAATTTCTATTTATTATCAGCAACTGTGTCTGCAAAAGATGTCCTGATTAATTTAACAAAAGGCTTTCAAGGAGGTATATAACTAACCTCATTTTTGCATTTACTGCATTAATAACCTCACGTAACATTTTAAACTTAGAAAGACAAACAACTCACATTACGAAAAATATTTTGCTGATCATTTAGCGTAATAGCATTATGCAGTTAAGGTTTATTACTTGTTGGCATGACAAGAATGTTGTAAAGTAGGGAGAGAAGGTACAATACTTTTTAAAAGATGGGAAATGAAACAAAGAACATTTAAATGATGGTCAAAATCAGTCACACTCCCACATGACTGTGCTGGAAGGAGGGCTCGGCCACCACGCTCAGGGCTCAACCCACCACCCCAGTGACACAGCTGACACATGGCCCACCTCATATACTTCATTCCACTTTGGACTGAGGTTCTCTTTGATGACTTTGCTTTGGAAGATTTGGTTGCCAACTCTAATGATTCCATAGGGGTCCGACTTTCCCTTGACAAGTCCCTTAAGGTAAGTGTCTTTCCCCTGAAGATCCTGAGCTTCAATAAAATGTATCCTTAGAACACCCTGAAAAGAAGAACAAACTAAAGTTTAGACCCTTGGCTGGCTCATTTAACTGGAGTGGAAGATAGCTACATGCCTGACCCTGTCTTGAGAACGGGGGGTGCAGAGGGAATAAAGGCTCTCTTCTGCAGCTGAGTACATCCCAGCAGCGGCAAAAAGCAGTAAACGTGTACAGGAGGCAGCAGATGCTAAGAAAAACAAGAGCAGGGCAAGGCAGGAATGCCCGGGTGGGGCTGGCTCAGGCAAGAAGAGATGGGCTTCTGGAGGGATGGCCCCTCCACAGAGACACGAGGACGGGCAGCCTATGCAGCCCTGGAGAGTGCTTCTGGCAGAGCGACACAGAGTGCAGAGGACCCAGCACAGCACCGTGCTTATCTCACGGGGGCTGGTAACACAGGCTACCAAGCTCTACTAGAGCCTGGTGCTACAGTGAGTAATAACATGAGAGGTTCCATCAGACCTGTTACTAAGCACTAGACATGCAGTAATTATGCCGTTCCATTTTTAGAATAATCCTATGAAATACTGTGATTACACTTATTTTAGAGAGGAAAAAACTAAAACTTTGAAATATGTATTATTCATAAACTCTAAAAACAGTCCTGGCTAGGCACAATGGCTCACACCTGTGATCCCAGCACTTTGGGAGGCAGAGGTGGGCAGATCACTTGAGGCCAGGAGTTTAAGACCAGGCTGGCCAACATGACGAACGCCATCTCTACCAAAAGTACAAAAAATCAGCCAGGTATGGTGGCGCATGCCTACAGTCCCAGCTGCTCGGGAGGCTGGAGTGAGAGAATCACTTGAACCCAGGAAGCAGAGCTTTCAGTGAGCTGAGATCCCAACACTGCACTCCAGCCTGGGTGATAGTGAGATCCTGTCTCAAAACAAACAAACATAGTCCTTTCCCTAAAATACTGTTTTATTGATAAAAGAAAAAAAAAAATTCACTCTTATTTCTTCCAAAGCAAACAAAGATACTCAAGTCACCTTTTTTGGTAGGAAGCATTCTGCCCCCACACATCCTTCTTTAAAATTACGCAGTGATATTCCTGACTCAATCAGCACAGGAATACATGTCCCTCCACAGATGAACACACTTCAAAAACTCGAAGCAGCTCTTGCTGATATTTTCGTATGTCTGAAGCTGAGATAATCTGGCCGCATCTCTTGATGGCACTGGCTGCTAAGCCCATGTAGCTAAAGGCAGCCAGATCCAGGCATGCTCAGGTGCTCACCTGCACTCAGAGCCTAAGAGGAGCACAAGAATGTCCACATGTAAAGGGACTCCTTCATTTCCAGAGGTGAGCGTCAGAAGTTAGGGAAAAAGACATTCTTTTCTAATGTACAGTGTCACATTAAATCTGTTGAATGCCAACGATATAACCAGTTTAAGCACCAAATTAACTGGCATATTGTTACTCTTAAAAAATGTAAGGATGCCTATGCATGTTTGTTAATTTTCGTACCATTACTTAGATCTAATTAAACCAGAAAAAGTAAAAAGGCATCAGGAGAAGGTGACCTACTTCTACTTCAGAAAACAAAAACAAAAACAATATACCCACAGAAACGGGACCAACTTACCACATCCCGTTTTAGTAAAAATCAATAGTGTGGTGTGCACTGCTTACTACAGACACCACCATAGCACAATTGCTCACCTGGCTTCTGGAGTCAAGTCCACACAGACAAAACAGACATGGAATCCACCATCTGAGCTGCTGACAAGCTCTTCTTACTTAGCCTGTGAGAGATCCTTCACTCCACCCACCCCTTCCACAATCAGGAGGAATTTCACGTTCTTGACTACTACTTTGCAGTTATTTAGTTTGCTCAAATGAAGGTGACTTCAATATCTGCAACTCAGTGCTGTGTGCTGGGTACTGTCCCATTTTACAGATGACGAAACTGTGGCCACAAAAACAAAGAATGCCAAACAATGTGCCCACAAAAACAAAGCTACAGCTAAACTTGAGAGCTGTGACAAAAATCTAGGTTTGTTCTTTCCATTTTATCCAGGTCAGCTGTTATATAATTGCTTCTTCTACCAGGTTACTCATTAAATGGCTTCAGAGACAATGGAATTCTAACTCTGAGAGAAAATATACAAATTATTACATGAAGCCTCATCATGACTGCCAGGAAAACTGGGGCTTGTTGCTGAGGGCTGTCCATTCTAATAAAAACAAATGCTGTGTTTGCCTTCTGAGGTAACTAAGATGTCTGTGCTGTGTACCTCTGCAGATTTAAATCCCTATCGGCGCTTTGAAGAACACAGCTATGGAGACAGAATCGTCCTGTTGTCTCCATGACAAGCTTTAGGGTCTGCGTAAATCAGTCAAGTATCTTAAGGAGAGTGACGGACAAGCAGGCAATGCATCAAGACCCAGGTGCAAGCTGGCTGCTGGGGAGACAAAAGAGTCACAACATCCAACGCCACACCCACAGGCATGCAGGCCTCCAAGATTTTTTTTTTTTTCTTTTTTAAAGGCCAGTCAAGTGAAGCAGTGGGAGTGGAGAAGGAACAGAGCAATCTATAACTGGTTGTGATCACTTAGTTGTAAACACCACTGCCCCCGGACCAGCCTCCAAGATGTTTTTAAATGTGAACGGATGCCAGGACACGCTTACCTTTGGTACAGGAAACCGCAACTGAGCTATCTGAACTTCACTGACAAGAGGAACGGTGATTCGATTGGGAAGCACCAGATAATTTGATATTATATCCGAAATGATAGTATCTGATAAACCACTGTTGGTTGGGAGACAAAAAGAACAAATGGACTGTCAGACACGTGAACACTTCCCTCACCTTTGACAACACTTACCACAGATATGATATAATGTCCCATTTATTTACAGAGTAGGAGTTATCTAATTTCTCCTGTGCAGTATTTAAAAAAAGCATTTCAACACTTTAGCTGTAATACTACTGTGATGACTATTGATAGAGAATTTATTCGGAGAACATAAGGTAAAATTCTAGTTATTGCACAAGTAATCAAATTTCCTAAACAAAATTTCATATATTCCTACTTCATCATAGAATTTATACATAATTACTAAAATATGACTCATTAATTTAACAAAATATTTCAAACATACATAGAAGTACAGAGAATAATATAACATTCACGGGCCCCATCCATGTTCATATGCACATATTCCATTTCTCTGCTGTTGTACACTAGCCCCCACTGAAGAGAACTTAGTTTGCTTTCTTTTTACCCATTATCCAACACTTTTGAGTACTGAACACATTAATAATTTTGATACTATACATCACTGCACAGCAAAATCAGTAAGGTGAATAAAATTGAGTAGGCTAAAGGAAAAAACGTACTTTTTCTTTTTTGAGACGGAATCCTGCTCTGTTATCCAGGCTAGAGTATAACAGCACAATCTCGGCTCACTACAACCTGCACTGGGGTTTAAGCAATTCTCCTGCCTCAGCCTCTCAAGTGGCTGGGATTACAGGTGCCCACCACCATGCCCAGCTAATTTAGTATTTTAAGTAGAGATGGGGTTCACCATGTTGGTCAGGCTGGTCTCAGGTGACCTCAGGTCATCCACCTGCCTTGGTCTCCCAAAGTGCCAGGATTACAGGCATGAGTCACCACCCCTGGTCAAGATATACTTTTAATAGATCTTTTTTGGCCGGCCATGCTGCCTCACACCTGTAATCCAAACATTTTGGGGAGGCTAAGGTGGGAAGATCGCTTGAGCCCAGGAGTGGGAGACTAGCCTGGGCAACATAGCGAGACCCCTCCCATCTCTATTTAAGCAAGCATATATACATATATCCTATTCTTTAGGGTAAATGTGAGAATTAAATAATGTGTATATGATAGCACTTTTAAAAACATTTATAAACGTTAAGTTTCATTGCTGTATAACACCTTTACCTGAACTGTGAAGTTGCAAAAGTGCTTTACTTCTCTCCAGTAATGTTTTAGATGCTAAAATTATTAACATACGTAAGTAATTACACACAAAAATACCCACCGAGACAGTGGTAATCATCAACAGTCAACAAACAATGTCTGAGCACCCACTGCAAGAAAGTGTCCACATGTGATGACCCAGCACTTCAAGGACTTTTCAGTTTAATATGGGAAAAAAACTTTTAAAACCCCCAAAAAGAAAAACCATATATAAAACTACTTATGAACATGTCAGTTACTCAGACGGTTAATACTCTCCGAGATTCGGAGGGCTTCAGCCAACAGACACCGGCTGTGTGTTCACCACTCAGGGCAGGGCCCATCCACCTTCCTCCTGCACAGACTCCTGGCCTCAGAGGCCACAGCTGCTCTGACAGACCTCCCTGGCGGGGCTCCCCTCTCTGCACCTTCTCAATCCAGTACACCTGCAAGTCCGCAAACTGTCGGGTGTGATGCTGCTCCCCTAGGCCTCCACAGAAGAGTCACCTGCAGTGATTACTTTCTTGGGAATCACTAGTTCCCTGTATGTCCTTCGGAACCACGACTACTCATCACCCATATTTTGTTTCCACCATAATCTCTGCCCTTCTTACACCTTCAACACTCGGCTTAGGGCCACTTATCAAAACATGACAGGGATATTTAATAGTTATGGTGTAGTGAAGGAATTCAGACATTATTCTTAGTATTGTCTGGGGTTTCTTTTTGTAATCAATTAATATAGCATGTGGATGCACATTTTATAAAGGTTGGAACAAGATTTCATTATGTTAAGTTCATAGTTACTTGTCATTATTATTTTTTTTGAGATGGAGTCTAACTCTGTTGCCCCGGCTGCAAGGCAATGGTGTGATCTCGGTTTACTGCAACTTCCACCTCCCAGGTTCTAAGCAATTCTCCTGTCTCAGCCTCTCAAATAGCTGGATTACAGGCGTGTGCCCAAGCCTGGCTAATTTTTGTATTTTCAGTAAAAAGATGGGATTTCACCACATTGGCCAGGCTGGTCTTGAACTCCTGACCTCAGGTTATCCACCCGTCTCGGCTTTCCTAAGTGCTGAGACTACAGGCGTGAGCCACCGCACCTGGCCTCATAGTTATTTAATATTCACTTTTATAACCTAAGGGTTGTTACAGCTGTGATTTATTTGATAGAAAGACTGAGAACTAGTAGCTCCAATTTTACATACATATCTATTAAATTTCAGTACATAACATTTATGTAAACATAGTTGTATTACATAAAATCTGTATAATTATGTATAAATTATATATACCTACACATATAAACTTATAAATATTTTTACATCTCCTTTTTATACAACAGCCTATTTTTTGAATAATGTATGTGTATTTATGTTAGGTAAGTATTTTTAATGACATAATTCTATATATACATATAGAAGTATACTTTTGTATGACATATATAAAATCTACATATAAGACAACAGAAGCTGGGTGCGGTGGTACACATCCATAGTCCAGCTACTTGGGAGGCTGAGGCAGGAAGAGCCCTTGAGGCTAGGGAGTTGAAGCCAGCCTTAGCAACACAGTGAGATCTCTAAATAAATAAATAAATAAATAATAAAAATAAAATAGCCAGAAACGACTACTGTATAAAAAGAGCCTACATATAAATTATTAGAATGGAGACATGTATGTATGTGCATGTCTGTATTTACATGGGTGTGTGTGAATGCCTTTTAAATAAAATGAATCAGGGATCAACTTCCTCAAATGGTAGGCTTGCCGGGGCAGAACACAGTCTTTGACTTTGCCCTTTCAGGTTGCCAATATTAGTATGATGATATTTACAGAGTAGATGCTCAATAATGCTGTCTTATTTCACTCCTCCTATAATACTGAAGGAAGGCAAAATCAAATACTTTTTTCTATTCTTAACTGTGTGGATGTTTGTTCTGTTTGGCTACACATTGTTTATTCCTCTATTTCTAGTGAAAATTTTTGCTTTGGGGGATACCCTCTTTCACTGGATTTTTTTCCAAGCAAGTAATCTATTTCTTTGCCTTCTCCAGGGGTGTGCATGAGATTGGAACCTGATCATCGGAGTCACAGGAACCTGTCCAAGGGTGGCAGACACAGACAAGCCAGCCCATGACCTGGTGGGAAAGGCAGCTAAGTCCGCAGACTAAAGGCTTGTAGCTGCAGGCACAGCAAGAGCCTGCCTGAAAACAAGTCCACAAGGAACACGCCCACCCTGCGTGGGTCAGGAGCTGGGGAGGGAGAGCCCTTCCAGTGCCCAACACAGGCTCCACCTGAAACCCCTCAGAAAACATGCCAGCTTACCAGCTGCTGAGCCAGGAAACAAGCACAGCTGTGTCCCATGCTCGAAGAGCTGTGGCTGGCTCAGGGCAGGCGCTGGTAAACTGCCTTTTAAAAATATTATTTGCCGGCTTGGTGCAGTGGCTCATGCCTGTAATCCCAGTACTTTGGGAGGTCGAGGCAGGTAGTTCACCTGAGGTCAAGGAGTGCAGCCTGGCCAACATGGCGAAACCCCGCTGCTCCTAAAAAAAAAATACAAAAATTAGCTGGGCATGGTGGCGGGCACCTGTAATCCCAGCTACTTGGGAGGCTGAGGCAGGCAGAATTGCTTGATCCTGGGAGGCAGAGCTTGTAGTGAGCTGAGATCAAGCCACTGCATTCTAGCATGAGCAACAGAGCAAGATTCCATCTCAAAAAAAAAAAAAAAAAAATTACTTATTTACCTATGTAAGACTATCTGAGTCAGGTTTGTTGCTTGCAACCAGAATCTTAATGAACTCTAACCAATCTTTTAAAGTTGTGCTTGCTTTCCACAGATCTTTCAAAGATTACAGCATTTTTCTACATCCAGTAAACCACAGCACCTAAAAAGGACTATTATTCTGACTGTATTTCAGATAAGTAAAGTCCTAATTTTTCCCTAATAATGTAACAAAACTCTTTAGAAAGCCCAATTCAGAGGCATAAACAAACATGCAGGAATAAAAGAACAATAGTCTGAAATTTTCTAAACTATTTTAGGAAAAACAAATCATACTAGAAAATAACCACTAGAAACATACAACTGTAACCCACAGGTGATGCATTTTAACTTTGAAATAAAACGGTAAGCCAGCAAAAGCACTCGGAGGCTGTAATTTTGAAACTTCCTATTTGGTGGGGACCCACAGGTCTGCCATCCACAGCCCCATGCTCTGTTTCAGGTAACAGGACCATGGCAACTAGAATGACTCCTTGTCTCTGAGCAGGGACGCACCCTCCAGGGCCTCAGATGCTTGTTACAGAACATTTTCCTCCTGTTTTAGACACGAGATTGCTATGGAATAATGAAGGGACTCCCACTGAAATGATATGAAACTTCAAGTTCCTCACCTTTCACACTCAAGAATCCTAGAGAAGTCCATACTGACCCCAACCCCTTTCAAATAGGAATGGAATAAAGGTTAAAAAAAAAAAAAAAAAAAAAAAGGCAGAAATGGTGGGGTAGCTGGAGGCTGGAGAGACGCTGAAAAGCATTTGCTTTTAAAGTATCCTTTATTGTTTCTGAGAAGATATTAAAAACCACATTTGCAAACTGGTTTACAAAATATTAAAAGGTCTCTACTTTTCTAAAATGCCAAGGGCAGGAAGACGCCTTGTGGTAAACAAAAGCCAATGATGGGCGAGTGCTCAGTCTGGCACTCAGAGTCCTCCCGCCCTGGCTCGCTGCCTCCAAGTAGCTCTCTGTGGGCAGAACAAAGCCCCTGTGCCCTCTGCTCATTTCTCATGACAGCCTGTGGAGAAGGGACCCATTCACCTGGCAGACGCAGGTCTTAACATTCTCATGCCGTTGTCAAGACACAGAAAATGCACAAGATGCCGTCGACAGGCTAAGCCTTGGGGACCGGACATTGAGACTTACTTCAATCCAGGGATATCCAGAAGATTCGTCAGTCCTGTCCAGTTAATTTCTAAAAGCTGTTTTAAAACAAGGGCAAAATATTAAGTTCCAAACAATTTCCAATTATCAAATCCGGTACACAAAGGCTTGTTTCTTTATGAACAAAACACAGACGTACACCCTTCATCCTTTGTAACATACCAAGGACATCTTTCTTTGGTGGTACATGGAGAACTGCCTCTTTTTGTTTTTTGATAAAGTCACAGTTTTCTCGAGGAAAATCATAAAATAATTTATTTACTATTCTCCTATGGAAGGACACTTAGAATTCTGACAATTTCTCTTTACTGTAATTACAAACAATGATTCAGGGACTGTCTTTTTACATACATGTTCTTGTATACATATGCAGACTAGCATTCAAAAAGCGAGATTTTGGGCTCAAAGACTTAACGCTCATTTTTAATGTCAATAGTACCTATCTGCCCTCCAAAAATACTGAACCCATTTATATTCCCACCAGAAGTGTATAAAGCTGTCCTTTTCACATTCCTCACCAAAAACAATACAAAAACCCTACCAATGTGGCGGTTAAATAATGGAACTTTATCATTGTTTTACTTTGTATTTTCCAATTATCAGACCATGCTCTACCCCCAATCATTTGACATCTGTGTTTATCTTAGAATAATTCCCTTACGGTTAGCTAAGATTCCATTAAGCAGATGTGGATTGGTAAAAACTATTGATTAGAAATACTGTTTTTCCTACCAAAACAGCAACAGCACATAGTATAATTACTTGTGTTCTATATTTGCAGAAGAAATTCTAAGTAAAATTGCCTGATCTCAATTCCCCATATAGCTGAGTAACAAAACTGCTCAAATCCCTTTAGGAAGTGGTGGTTGTAAGTAAATACGAAGCGGAAGAGTCAAGATTCTTCTGGATAGACGAAAACTAAAAAGAACTGGAAAAAAAAAAGGCAACAATTTTTAAGATGCTGAAAGACCAAGATTTCTCAGTGTAACAGAAATGAAATATATATATATAAATCAGGAAGGAAAAAACAGGCAACCAATCTTCGAACTGGACTGCAAACATCATCCCCCTGAAAGTAAGTGTATTTTCCCTAGTCCACCCACTGAACCACCTGCCTAAACCTCTACATTCTAAATCACATGAATACATTTATAAACGCTTATTTCAGAGCTTATTTTCCTTCTCTTTTCTCTTACAGACCTTAAAAAGGAACAGGTACTCCCTGCCACAAGAAAATATTCTGGTCATACAAAAATACCTGTTATGAGAAAACTAAGATTTAAAAGGGCATTATAACAGGATTCTATCATTTAGTTCTGGAGGCTGTCACTCCTGATCACAAATCTACTTCAGGAAATAAGAACGTATCAAAGATACAGCACAGAATCTTGCAATCGACAGGTTAAAATGCAAGCACCTCACACAGCGAAACGTCAGAGGACACCCAATGGTGACTGCTCCATCTGCAGAGCCATGAGACACAAGAGCCACATGAACTTCAGGGAAGAACAGCTGTGAGAAGGACAGTGGCTGGTAAGCTGCTACATAAAACTAGGTGAGGCCATTGTAGTTAAAAGAACAGTGGAGAGAATACAATTCAAAGATGCTATTTAATAAAGACAGAATTTTCCGGCCCTGCACGACTCACGTCTGTAATCTCAGCTCTTTGGAAGGCGAAGGCGGGCAGACCATGGGGTCAGGAGATTGAGACCATCCTGGCCAACATGGTGAAACCCTGACTCTGCTAAAAAAACCCCCACAAACATTAGCTGGGAGTGTTGGTGTGTGCATGCAATCCCACTCAGGAGGTTGAGGCAGGAGAACCACTTGAACCAGGAGGTCGGAGGTTACACTCCAGCCTGGCAACAGAGTGAGACTCCATCTCAAAAAAAAAGAACTTTTCCTATACAGGCATGCCTCAGAGATATTGCAGGCTGGGTTCTAGAGCAGTGCAGTAAAGGGAATATTGCAATATGTAAATCACACACATTTTTTGGTTTCCCAATGCATATTAAGTTATGTTTATACCATAGTCTGTTAAGTGCAAAACAGCACTGTATCTTTTTTTTTTTTTTTTTTTGAGACGGAGTTTTCGCTCTTGTTACCCAGGCTGGAGTGCAATGGCATGATCTCGGCTCACCGCAACCTCCGCCTCCTGGGTTCAGGCAATTCTCCTGCCTCAGCCTCCTGAGTAGCTGGGATTACAGGCACGCGCCACCACGCCCAGCTAGTTTTTTGTATTTTTAGTAGAGACGGGGTTTCACCATGTTGACCAGGATGGTCTCGATCTCTCGACCTCGTGATACACCCGCCACGGCCTCCCAAAGTGCTGGGATTACAGGCTTGAGCCACCGCGCCCGGCCCAGCACTGTATCTTTTAAAAAATGTACATATCTTTATTTTAAAACACTTTATTGCTGAAAAATGCTAACAATCACCTAAGCCTTCAGCGAGTGATAATCTGGCTGGTAGAGGGTTTTGTCTCAGTGTTTGATGGTTGCTGACTGACCAGGGTGGTGGTTGCTGAAGGCTAGGGTGATTGTGACAATGTCTTAAAATAAGACAACAGTGAAGTCTGCTGTATCAATAGACTCTGCCTTTCAGAAAAGATTTCTCTGTAGCATGCCATGCTGTTTGATAGCATTTTACCCACAGCAGAACTTATTTCAAAATGGAGTCACACTCTCAAACCCTGTCCTGCTTTATCAACTAAATTTATGTGATATTCTAAATTGCTTATTGTTATTTCAAAAATGTTTGCAGCATCTTCACCAGGAGTAGATTCCATCTCAAGAAACCACTTTCATTGTTAGTCATAAGAAGCAACTTCTTGTCCTGCAAGTTTGATCCTGGGACAGCAGCAATTCAGTCCCATCTTCAGGCTCCACTTCTTTTTTTTTTTTTTTCTTTTTTTTTAATTGCATTTTAGGTTTTTAGAGTTATCTCACCATTTCCATTCCACCTGCAGTTCCTTCTTCTACGGAAGTCTTGAACCCCTCAAAGTCATCCATGAGAGTTGGCATCAGCTTCTTTCAAACTCCTATTAATGTTCATATTTTGTCCCCTTCCCAAGAAACACAAGTGTTCTCAATGGCATCTAGGGTGGTGAATCCTTTCCAGGAGGTTTTTGACTTACTTTGCCCAAATCCATCAGAGGAATCACTGTCTGTGGGAGCTATCATCTTACAAAATGTTATTTCTTAAATAGTAAGACTTGAAAGTTGAAATTTCTCCTTGATCCCTGGGCTGCAGAATGGATGAAGTGTCAACAGGTATAAAAACAACATTTATCGCCGGGCGTGGTGGCTCAAGCCTGTAATCCCAGCACTCAGGAGGCTGAGGCAGGAGAATTGCCTGAACCCAGGAGGCGGAGGTTGCGGTGAGCCAAGGTTGCACCATTGCACTCCAGCCTGGGTAACAAGAGCAAAACTCCATCTCAAAACAACAACAACAACAACATTTATCTTGTACATCTACATCAGAGCTCTTGGGTGACCAGATGCACTGTCAATGAGCAGTTATATTCAAAGGGACGATTTTTTTTCTGAGCAGTAGGTCTCAATGGTGGGCTTAAAATATTCGGTAAACCAGGCTGTAAATAGATATGCTGCCATGCAGCTTTGTTTTTCCAGGTACACAGAACAGGCAGTTTAGATTTAGCATGATTCTTAAGGGCTCTGGGGTTTTCAGAATGAGAAATGAGTGCTTACTTCCACTTCAAGTCATCACCTGCATTAGCTGTGACAAGATAGCTTGTCTTTTGAAGCCTTGAAGTCAGGCACTGACTTCTCTCTAGCTGGAAAAGTTCTAGATGGTATCTTCTTCTAACAGAAGGATGTTTAATATACATTGAAAATCTGGGGCCAGGAGCAGTGGCTCACGCCTATAATCCCAGCACTTTAGGAGGCCGAGGCGGGTGGATCACGAGGTCGAGAGATCGAGACCATCCTGGTCAACATGGTGAAACCCTGTCTCTACTAAAAATACAAAACATTAGCTGGGCATGGTGGCGCGTGCCTGTAATCCCAGCTACTAAGGAGGCTGAGGCAGAAGAATTGCCTGAACCCAGGAAGCAGAGGTTGCAGTGAGCCAAGATCGCACCACTGCACTCCAGCCTGGGTAACAAGAGCGAAACTCTGTCTAAAAAAAAAAAGAAAAGAAAATCTGTTGTTTAGTGGAGCCACCTTGATTAACGATCTTAGCTAATCTTCTAGATAACTTGCTACTTTACCTTGCATTTTTATGTTACAGAGATGGCGTTTTTTCTTGAACCTCATAAACCAACATCTTCAAACTTCTCTTCTGCAACTTCCTCACCTCTGTCAGTCTTCACAGAACTGAAGACAGTTAGGACTTTGCTGTGGAACAGGTTCTAGCTTAAGGAAACATAAGGTCTGGGCTGACCATCTGTCCAGGCACTAAAACTTCTTCCCTATCAGCAAGAAGGCTGCTTCTCTATCATTGGTGCGTTCACTGGAGCAGCACTTTTATTTTCCCTCAAGAACTTTTCCTTTGCATTTACAATTTGGCTGTTTGGCACAAGAGGCTTAGCCTTCAGCCTACACTGGCTTTAAACATGGCTTCCTCACTAAGCTTAATCATTGCTAGCTTTGCTTTTTTTTTTTTTTTTTTTTGGGAGTCTCACTCTGTCACCCAGACTGGAGTGCAATGCTGTGATCTTGGCTCACTGCAACCTCCGCCTCCCAGGTTCAAGTGATTCTCCTGCCTCAACCTCCCGAGTAGCTGGGACTTCAGGTGTGCACTACCATGCCAGCTAATATTTTTTTTTTATTTTTTTATTTTTATTTTTTTTAGTAGATGGGGTTTCCACTATGTTGGCCAGGCTGGTCTCAAACTGACCTCAGGTGATCTGCCCCCACTCGGCCTCCAAAAGTGGTGGGATTACAGGCATGAGCCACCAAGCTTGGCTGATTTCTAGCTTCTGACTGAAAGTGAGAGGCGTGCAACTCTTTCTTTCACTTGAATACTTAAAGGCCACTGCAGGGCTGTTGACTGGCCTAATTTCAGTATTGTTATG